GAGCATTACCTTCCGAAACGGTAGACAAAGATAAATGATCACTAAAAACAGCTGAATTATTGGGATCTAAATTACAAGATTTAGTACTACTTGAGGCAAAATGAATAGTAGCTTTGCATACTGATTGAATGTGTCCTATCTTACCACATCTAAAACATTTCGCATAACGAAATGCACATGAATTACGAGAATGAATTTTTCCACATGATAAACATTTCCCAAACTTGGTCTCACCTTTGTGATTTCCTTTGTAATATTTTGTTGAGATATCTTTCATATTTACACGAGAATAGGAATCATTGTTAAATGAACGCAATTTTGATTGACCCTGAGCGAAGTATTAGAAATATTCATCGACTGGATATCAAGTTCATTCACTGCCTCGTAGTTAATACACACAGTTCGGCATTCTTAACAGCTCTCTTTCCAAACCCGTCAAGTTAATTCCTACGAATAATCGATCTCTCAGTTGCACATGAAGTTGATCACCAAAATTACATTTGGCAGCTTAATTCTGCAATTCAAGAATGAATACCTTAACCTTTTGGTCATTTCGACGAGTCATCTTATGAAATTTTGCCCTTTCACGGCATTCAAAACTAGTGCACTTTACATGATTTAATAATAACTCCTTAATAGTTGCATAAAGAAGTGAGATAGGTTTTTCTGGATATGCCAAAGTTTTCAATAAGCTGTATGCTTCTTTTCCAATGAATGTGAGAAAATGTGCCACTATATTAATATCCTCATCATCCTTCTTGGTCATGCTCCAAATTTCAAACCTTTCCAAATAATCCTCAAAAGCTTCAGAAGTTGAATGAATATCTAATTGTTCCATCGCAGGCCAATATGATAATTAGAAGTAATTGAATTATAGTATGAACTAAGAATCCCAGGGATAACGCAATTGAATCAAGAAGTACTACACAAACACTAAGTAATGTACTATATTTAGAATTCGAAATCAAACATTCAACAAGTACAAAGGAGTCATTAGTTCATTCAAACACCACAGCTACGTGAGAATAAGTGGTGATCTGTTAATGGCGTGCAACGTACTAAGCACGTCGAGCTACCTTACAATGAATAACTTTGAAAGGCGACTTGTTAAACACGTACTCACCCACGGATTACCGTCTCCTTATTGGACCATCCATGTCTGATGTATGTCTCTTAATCTACAAGATTTATCATCACTGAATATCAGTAACCACTTCTTCTCTCTCTTAGCATCACCTCCGTTTTCCCTTACTTCTTTTCAACACCGCCTTTTTACGTATTATCAATTTAAGAAATGGATTATTTATTCTTGAAACAATTGTCTATACATGCTGTTGACAAAAATATTGGAAATATCGAGTGGAGACATAATACATTACGAATAATGTAACTAAATTTAGTAGAATGAACTGTGTAGACTTGAGTAAAGAAAAGTAATCAGGATTGGGATATTCCATCAAGAGACTAATAAAGACAACTGTTCAGTAATTACAAATTCTGGGTGTAAGAAAAAATCTAGAAATATTTTCCATAAAGCTTATTATCACGTAGAAGGAAATCCTTTCCTATCACATAGTAGATTCAGTACATTCAATTAGTCGTGATTTGACAAGGGTGTGTAGCGTGGTGTCAAATCGCGTTTGATTATGAATACCGCTACAAGAAAACTACGTGCCAGTAAACCAATAAGATTCCCGTAGGCCAATATCAGAAGAAAGATGATGGCTGTATTTGAGATATATTTGCTGGCGATCTTGTGGTATCGAAAGAATACAGAGATCATGCCAAAGGAGTACAAGTGGGATCGGCAGGAAAAAGTACGTGCGTAGAGTCACAAACCACGCAGAAGTAATGGAGTCCAATGGAAGGTCAATATGGCTGTCATTAGCACAGTTAAACAAACGAGCACAGTAAAACAATCACTGGTACAATTGGTTATAATAATAATTGTTTTCATTGAACCAATCGCGTACTGTTGACAAAAGTAGGTCACTACAGGTTTATACTCAAATCAAATAATTTATTTTAAGACAAATAGACACTAGTTTTCATTGTAAACAATCAAACTCACAACAATTAATTAATTCTATAACTTGCAACTGTACTAAATACCTAGTTAAATGCTTTTACAACGAACTACCAGTTATTTTTCATTCTCAAATAATAATGATTACGTAATTAATTCTCGCTTTTGGTTTATCATACGTAATCGGTTGATATATCTGCAGCACTATTTTATTGCACGATATCATTTTGTAGCTCATCACTATTGCTGCACGGTCTTTTGGACTAGTTATTTCAAGCGAGCCATTATCGGAGTATATTTTGAAGAAGAGCTCTTCCGACCAATAGCCTGTCATTCCCATTCCAAAAAAGTCACAGAAGTAGTCCTTTCCGAAACAATAATTCTGTTCTTTGTTTGAATACGAGATCTTTATTTGTCACTGTCTTCAGACAAAACAGTTGATACCAAATGACTGTTTCTATTAGCAATCGATACAACTGGTAACAAAAACATTTCAACCAGATGGTGGTTTTTTAGGGTCAGTTCAAGTGTGTTTCACTCACGTAAAACCTGCCCATTTGAAATTCCATCTAACATTGCATCTGTATAATTTTTGTTTGGGAGACATGAATAAATCACAAGTTATAACTCTAGTGTTGATATCACTTTCTTATTTATAAAAAAGCCATATTATCTCTATAATTTTCTAAACACTGATCACATCCGTGATTTTTAAAATGTTAAAATTTAAATTCATTTTACATTTTAACAAAATATTTAACGTTCCTCTTCTATTAATGTACACTTCTATTTATTTTTATACTGCATGAGTTTAGTAAGTATCTAACTGGTTGCCAGGATTTTATACTTACCCTACCACTTACTTAGGTATTATGGCACGGTACGGTTTTCCAGTTGTGTTAAGGTTGGTCTAACGTCATACGGTAAAGCGAATTGGCTTTTCTGGAAATGATTTCCTTTCGCAAGGTTCAAAAACTAACCGCGTGGATGTGATTTCGTAGGGAAATTGTTACCACCAGGTCTTGGGGCGCAGGCGTCACACCAGGGGAAAGTATAATCTACATGCACACCGGTTTTCACCCATGCATCCCTTAGCATAAATATAGAAATATTCACTCACCTGGGAGAGTAAATGATCACCACTCCATTCGAAAGTATTTGCTACAACTGACTATCACTTACTCATTATATACATATTACTGGTACAAAGACTGTCGCCCTGTACTTCATGGTATAAACATAAGCACTCTCTCAGAGAGGGTTGATAGTCACCTCGCCGTAGTATTTGCTACCATATTTTTTATTGTCTTCAACATGAAGCACTAGGCCGCTGACTAGATTAGATATAAGGTAGAAATTACATTCCTTATGCTAATCCGCGCACCTACCCTTTTCATATACCTACAAACATAAACTACACAAACCGAGACTCATAAAATTAATATACATAAGCGTACACATCGGGTAGCCCACAAGATCTTAGTCAGCCCTTAATTTGGGATCCAGTTAATCCGGTTTACAGCAAAATGGTGGATTAGTCCAATCTCGTCAACCAGCCAAATTAGCTAGCAAGGTTGCTGTCACTACCCGGTAGCGGCACGCGCAAGCTTTGAGTTGGATTTTGCTGCCACGGTTTATGGTACTTGACTTGTTACCCAAACGGAAATTCAGTACAGTCGTGAGCATAGATAACAGAAATTTAGCTATGTTTTCAAGAATATCACTATATTGATATGTTGAACTAACCATGACTTCTTCATAACTCACCCTATTGATTGGAAACAGAAGCTATGTAGATTAATATTAAAACAAAAAAACAAACGGTATTTCCCGTAATATGATTGTTAGGATTAAATTATGTAACTCAAACTCGCGTTGGATTTATGAAATCCGATTAAAGCGCTGATACGTCACAGGTAATGTGTGCTGACAAATTCCTAAACAGCAATAGTAGTTACCATCTAAGAGAGTGCTGCCTGGTTTCGGCCCAAAAATGACTTATAAATGTTAGATACCATGACAGGTAATGATTTATTAATACCACTAAATAGTATTTTAAAGCCTTTAAACTGACGGGTCGATGAAGGACTTACCGTACCAAATTTTTTGTTGGTTCTTCTTGATAGTTATTAATTATGGTGTTTATTTTTGGCGTTTAAAAGTCAGCTGGATTAATATTGGACGAGTTTATCATTATGGGGGTTGTAGAGTATAGTTGACGGTCTAGTGATATAAATAATTATTCGTGCGGATAATCATTTTTAGCAGTCACGTAAATCTCCTGGGAACTGAAGCAACATTGTAGATCTACCTCAGTACTGATGATGGATTACAGCCCATGATCTCGATCATCATTCGGTGTCTAATTTTTAAACAGATAAGCGATATCCATTATTAATTATCTTGTAAAAGTTATCTCCCAACTGAGGGCACATTAAGCAGAACTTATGCTTGGAGTCTACCAGATTTACTGATTGTAAAATCTTAATATTGTTAGATTTTAAACGTCTGACTACTATGTCCAACTTTATATGAACAAATAGACTATATTCATCAATATTTTTGGAGGTCGACGTGTAACTAAAGCATACACATCTTGCAATCTACATAACAAGCGGTAAAACAGGAGAAAACGACATCTATATTGTCTCGAGATATTCTGTCCATTTCCCGACGTACTACTTGAAAATTACAATCGAAACAAGTTATTATTGCATGATTCATTGAAACATCGAGTCTAGGGTCTATTTCCCCTAAATAAACTGACGTTTATTTAATCCCAATTAGCTATATATATATATATATAATTCGTTAGAGTATCAATATTACTAGTAGTATGTTGTATAGCAAACTGAGTGTGTTACCGACATACAAAGTTCTTGAGTTAACTCATTCAATTTACCGCTCGTGATAATTTGTTACAGAGTTAATCTAGGCAGTCGACTTATTTTAATCGAGAAAAATAACAAATTTTGATTTCACACAAAGAATAGTTATTGTTTTTGGAGCGAAACAATTAATTGTGGCTAAGTTTATTTCACTTTCTGTACATTTCGTTTTGTGTGTACAAGCAGAAAAAAATAAAGGGAAAATAGTAGCAGAACGATTGTTTTTGTATCATGATTATTAATTATCAACTATTGATAAGAATCAATCCAAGATGTTATATGTAGATAGAAGGTAAATACCAGTTGATGATAATGATCTAAAGATCTAACAGGAAAAGGGCGATTAGTCATGGCATTATGCAGAGTACAAACAGGGTGACGTTGATGATGATGATTACCATATTATTGAAAATTACAAGATTTCAGTAATCTACTTTAAGATTACTGATGATTTGTAAGCAAAACGTATGTGAATATCAGAAATAATATCGATTAAAATACTGTTAGTAATAACTTTAAAGAATTATAATAAAGTAAATAGACAGAAAGATTCTTTTCAAGTCTCCAGAAAACTTAAACAAACAATATGAATTAAAACTTGAACAATTAAACCCCCACTATACATAATTAAGAAATTATAATTAGATAATCCAACTTGTTTCTACTTAAAATAAACTGAAAATAAAGTAAGATAAATTTAGTACACAGCTATTAATAATTGGATAAGTAATCAATTTACATGTACCTCCATTTATTAAACGTTCAAACAATGAAATAAATGAACAGTATAATCTATCAATTCAAAATTATTTGAAATCAAGGTGGATAATTACACAAAGAATATTGAAAGAAAAAAAAAGAGGATAATAAGATTAAATAAAGTCCAAAGGTGGTGGTGGATCTGAAGGTATGGAGATTTCTCTTTTTGGCAACTGATTTAAATCTAAACTTGAAAGACGTATACACATATCTAGTTCAGTTAAACGTTCCACATCTTCATTGTAGTAATCACTTGGATTCTATAGGATAAAAATCGGTTAAAGAAAAAATCGGAATATTTTTTAGAATAAACAATCCAGTTGAACGATTATATATCTACTTCCTAATCTCGAGAGATCTGTTACTCTTGAACACTGTGCAGAAAAATAAAGGCTTTTACATTGAAGGTTAATTTATATACAGAAAATAAAGATATTTATAAAATTGTATATGATTATGAGATTTCAGAAGTCTCTGGAACACATCTTGAAATTGATAATAAATTAGATGTTCTCTTTATCAGGATAATGAAAATACAAATCTTCGTTTTAGATAATTCTCATGAAAGTTCCTAAAGTATGCAGATTGATGGGAATACTTTAAACAATTTCCTTCCTTTCGAAGACTTTTCTCGAGGAAATATTGAAGCCTCCTACCAAAAGGAACTTAAATATTAATCTTCTTTTATTGAGAGTAGAATCTACCATCAATTATTGGTTTTTGGAATCGAAATGATTCACTAATATAACTAAAAGCATACAACAGAGGTTAAATAATTTCAACTCGACCTCATTGTATAGTAACCATTTTTATAGAAAGTCCACCCACTAACACTAAGGAATTCGAACTCAACGTTACAAGAAACTGCTTAGTGATGAACAATATACTTTGACATTTAACAAGTTAGCATAACAACTGAGATAAACACATTAACTTCAGACTGTACAGCTTAGGCCACCATAAAACATTTCCACACAGAACTCTTTCATAACTGATTGTAATTAAATAATACGAATGACCACTTAAAATATAATATGATAACTGAATAACATAATAAAACGATAATGTAGAAATTAACTTGATAGGATTTTAATACGGCTTTTTTGGTACTATAATTTCTATTTCTAAAAGAAAAAGAGTAGATGTTTACAGAATAAGTGCATCATTAACAATGTAAAAAGCTTGTAAAGATTACCCAACTTTATAGTTTATATCACAAATTGACCATATTTAGACAACCATTCCTGGTTTCCGGTGATTGTATATGGATAGTTTGTGATATAAATTATAAATCCATTATATAGAATAGTTGGATTTCGGCTGAAAGTGAAATCCATAAAGCAAGTTTCACTCTCTTTAGGATTCTTCACCTGCATATGTCTTCATCTGTGTTAATGTCTAACCCACCACTCGAAACCCCTGTATCCTTCGTTACAAATACCAACTACTACAAAATTCACATTGCTATTACATTGGAAAGTTCATATCAATTCAATTAAAAATAAGCGAATATATTTTATTGGGTATCAATAATTATTGGTCATTCAAAGATTTTTTATTGTTAATTACATCAAAAAAAGAATTAGATTCTATCTAATCAGATTTTAAAAACGTTAACTCACAGTTAATTTATTTAATAAAAATAATCCATCTAACCAATAATTATATTCAATTATTGATCTGGCTAATAAAATAACTCGAAAACAACGTGATTTATTACTTGTCGATTCATTAGGATCATCTTGATTTGGAATATCGGATAATTCCACTTGAAAGAGTAATGTCTAATTCGGATTTTTTTTTAAAAAAAAAAGACGAACACAAATGAACACCCAGAATAATGTTACTTTTTATAATTCAGTAGCACAAGTTTTTACTATAAATTTAATCATTAAGGTCAACTTGTAAAATATCATTAAGATTCAAGATATTTAATTATGATCAGTAGTGAATTAATGTAGAGGAGAACAGTGCAAGAAATCATGAATAGTATAGATCGATACAATTATAATTCATTCTGTTGAAATTCGTCAATGTAATATGTGTTTCTATCTACGCAATTATTTATTGATGAAATTCAACTGCAGATCCAAGTGAATTGTAAACAGAATAACGATAACCCACTGAATATGTTGATATTTTAATAACGCGTTAAAGTCCCTCAAAGTCGTTTATTCCTATTCAAGGTTGTTGTTAAATCACTCTGGAAAAAAATCACTACGTAACTTTATTGATAAACAGATCAAATTGCACTTGATAAAAAATATACTAATAGTTTGTCAGATTAATACTTACACGTTCCGGATTTTTCTTCACTTTCTCAGTTATACCCAAAGATACTCGACTAATGCAGTTTAGTTGCCCTTCGGATAAAAAAAGAAATAAATAGTATGATTACGGTTGAACTTCTGACTAAACTATTAATAATCACATGGAGGAATATTTATACACAAATTAGTTCACATTATTTGTTTCAGATACTAAGAATATCGATCAGGGAGATTGTTCGATATTGAGGTTTAGTGAAAAATATATATTTTACGCAGAAAATCCTACATGGTTAGCTGCTCACAACAGTACTAACTAGCTTCTAATTAGTGTAACTTTTTCTTGAGAATCCAACATATTCTGAACATGACAGCATTCGCCATAAGCGACCTAATACGACTCAAAATCGAAATAAAACTATTCCTTTTGAAGATGCACAAAAAGAAATGTTAGAAATGAAATTGTTTCTTAGTATCTAAATTATCGTTGACTTCTATACAGCTTCTCGTCATAGCATTTGCTTATATATTTTCCCTTCCGACTCTGGTCTTCTTCCTCTAGTTAGATAAGCAGTAGAACGGAGGAATAGCTTAACATCGTACTTTTATTGCGTTGCTGGTTTATGTTCCGTCCACTAATACCAAAGTGATAACTTAATATCTCAAACATAGCAGTTTTACTGGTTTATTTGTTCTAAAATAGGTATACAGTTTAGGAACACAAATTCCCATCAATTTTAAATTAAAGATCATCTGACTAGGCTGATCGACCTATTTTGAATTTTTATCACAATTAAAATCTTATTAGAACTGAACAGTGTAAACTATTAACTACACAGTGTCTAAATAAACTGACGATAGTAACTTACATATTTCTCTTATGATCTGGTTTGTGTCTCTTATAAGAAGCGACTTGCGATCAGGTGACAAGAGTACAGTGAATGATTGATTGTCTGTGTTAATTAAAAATAAAGCATATAATACAATAATAATAATAATAATAATAATAATAATAATAATAATAATAATAATATGAAGAAGAACAAATAAACATTGACACTACTGGATTTCGGCTCAGTGGTCTAGAGGTTAAGCATTCGCGAACAAGACCGATCGTGTGTTAGATGCCCGTTTGTGGGTTAAGGATGCGCACTGTCGAGGAATACCGTACTAAAACAAAAAGGCCGTCCAGTGCTTCTGAGTTTTAAATGGTGGTCTAGCTAGGACCAGTTTGTAATTTCAACTGTTAAAACACTACAATCTCCATAAATCACTTGTACTATAAACTTTGTCAAAGTTAGAATCCACAGCATCAGTTGTGGGAAAACGCAACGATATTCCGTCTAAAACGCATTCAAAGTTGAAATTCATCAATAACATATTTTACACATGTTTTCATTAGTCATCAATTGCCTTCTAACTTCAATTCAGAATGTTTCCTACCAGTTCAGTAGATACAATAACTTTTTCAATAAAGATTATACATAACTTGTATTAATTCCACTATACTCCTGTCTCGTTGTTTCAAACAATAGACACGAAGAAAAATATTATAACAACTGCAGTGGTTCCATTCGAGTTTCTCAATATCCATAGTAACCATTATAATAATTTTTAAGCCTTTTATAATATCTCATGAGTACATACAATTGTGATATTTAGTTATTCAGCCCGAGGAAATGGAGAATAGTAGGTTAACTGAAATGTTGTCACAGTTGGAAAATAGGTGATCCACACATTTGATTAGATTATATTCAGTGATATAAATGTTACTTCCGAATCTATAACATAACATGATAAAGAGTGTTAGAAAATCTAGATAATACTTCTAAAATGTCTACAGATACCGGGAAAAAGACGGAAAATGCTTACATTAAGCAGTTTTGCGAAAACTCCCATAAAGATTTTAAAATCGATGGATTTTTCTACCATTATCTGACCGAATAGATAACAATTTGTTACCAGGTTTATCACGCTTCTCAGAAGCTTCTACAAACCCAAAGTCACATATGGTATTATAAATATTCTTGCTTTCTGTACGTAGACTAATCTTGAAAGTAAAGCTTATTGCAATTTTTCCATCTGTTTTCCTGTTTTAGGTCCAAGTGGTAGCTATTCAAATAGATATATGATCTATTATATGGTACCTTCTGGGAAATAAGGAACACTGGATGTCACGTTCCAGTATTAAAATCCTTTAAGGTGCGTAACTACTACTCCACTAGGGATCAAATCTGGGACTTTTAGGCCCCGGCGTTTAATAGCTTAAATGATTACCTATCCAAATTCAGTTTGTGATGAGAAATTTCTAAATGAATTGCTGCTTGGTGCTTACACTTACATGGGTCGAAGTTTTTAAACATAACAATAGTAATTAGTCAAAATAAATTTAGATATCGATAATCTTCCTGTTGAAAAATGTCACTTAAATACTATCTGGTAGTGAATGTTTACACAATCAAATTATGATCCTTTAAAAACCATGTATTTGACACAAACATACAATGCATATAATCTTCGTCTAAATTGAATATATAAGTGACATAATACTGTCAATTAATTAATATTTTGAGATATAGTCCACTAATGTAGCTCATTTATCAAGGACCAATTTTCGTAAATAGCTTTGAACCACATAGTTTATATGGAAACTAGAACACTAAGCAGCTAGATAAAATGAATTACGTAGAATGGAGGTTCAAAACCACAACCTACTGGTTGAAATTCAAATACTTCACGTAATACTAAACCACTATTACGTTGATACTCTGATGTAATTTTCTAAAATAGCTCATTTTACTTTCCTCCGTGGTAAAATACCTTCAGAAATCAATATGTACTATTAATCTCGAAGTCAGTTATTCAACATCCATTTTTCAAACTTCGTGTATTTAAATTAAAGAGAGCAGTTAGAATTATATTTTATTTGTTTTCAAGGTCACATTTATTGATTTAACGATGAGTACACATTAAGTGCACAGTAAATAGAATGAAATAGCAAAAATATTTGATGGTTGAGTTGCTAATTTACCATATATGATATGAGCAATTTTACTAAAATGAACAAAGATGACTATCATTATTATTATCACAGATGAGCACACTTCCATGGCCAGATTATTTTTAAGTTTGGTGTTAGGTGGTTAAAGGTAGTCTACTGGAAAGCCTGGATCTAGGTTTCGTGTTAGCTGACATTGACCAGCAAGGTCTACCTGCAATCTTGATATAATAGACGCTTTCCTTCGGATTTCAAACTCAGTCACTAAGTTCCGCATTCTATTTCACCACTGTGCCATTTGGGCAGAGAGTGACCTACCATAGGACTGAGATATTTACATTGCATTACCAACTAAAAGTAACGAGTTCCATATTTGTCTATATTTTTGAATTTTACCAGTCAAGTTTATATTTAGATATTACATCTTATTAATTCAAAGAGATGATCTTTGATTGATCAGGAAAAAAATAATGTCCTATAAATTTATAACAAGTTCTTGTATCTTATTTATGAATATTGTCAAGGGAGCTGAAGTGCTGATACTATTGATCTTATTCGACCGTGCCAAAGTTCCATTTTTAACTCAACACCATATTTGTGGCTCTGATTGTGGCCAGTGTTATATTTGGTGCTTACGGTCCGCAACTGGAGTTCAGGGTCAGTGAGAATATTCAACAAAAGCATGAATGATATTTATTTTTATTAGTGTTATTCAGAAAGTTATATATAACATTGCTCTCAAACAACTTTCACTGTACTAGTAATTGAAATTTGTTATATTCACTGAATAAAACCGATCTGTGTGCAGTCATTCCTTCATTTGTTCTGGTTTGGCAATTAGGAATAGGTAATTGCACTGTATTTCGTTTTTAATTTGAACGTGGATACCTCAATCGCGACAAACATATGATATAAGAACTTTGAATTGGAACTATAGAAAATATCTTATACCCAATCAGTTCTAAAAAATCCACAATATGAATGGTTCTGTCAAAAAATATAAATCCAAATATATTCAGAATTTTTTTAGCTTTACAGCAGTATACACTCCAAGAAACAGTAAACATTTGATCAATATCCCATATAAACTCATCATGCAAACGAATCCAGAATACTTGTATTGTTTTTTTACTATTATACGTCAAAATATCGTATATCTGTAGTTGATTCACATGGTAATTGAAATCACTTTCCGATTCCCTGATAAGATTACTTCTTCAACGGAAGAATTCATTTGTTGAGTAAATCAGTCCAAGTAGGTGATGATTCGTTTTATGACGATTATATATGAGTAGATGAATACGTGCAAACATCCATACATTTATGAATTGTTTTTCTCCAACAATCATTAACGAGTAGTAAGTCACGTTAACACTAACACATGAGCAAACAAGAGTAAAATACATCAAAAATCGATTACCTTTACTACATAACTTCGATCCTTTTGATGGAATATATTCTAAAGGTGCTGAATTTGACAAAATATTTAAACGATTCTCATATACATGTCCTTGATGACGTTTCCTTACATCGTTACGTAATTCTCTAGATGAAGGATAAACAGATTAATGTGTACAAATGGTAAAATTTCAGAAAAAAAGGAAGGTATTATCAATGAGAAACAAATAAGTTAGATGCTCTTCTAAATAAAATATGACAAGCTATTCATTTAAAAATAAACAAAATACTCTGTGCATTTAGAATTCAGCCTTTACATATAGAAGCCATAGAAATACACATCAATAAACCAAACCTCTGTATATAGAAAATGCTTGTACAGCCTCACAGCTTACCTTGCCCTTCTATTTAGTTTCTATTACTTTCCTTGAAATTTACAAACATAATTTTTAAAAAATTTAATTTCTTATTTTAATCTTACCTCATCTATTTATTAAATGTTATATCCCGATATGAATAATGAATGGTAACTGTTGGGATATATCACTCGACTAATACTATACATACATTTTTATCGTATAACTGTTAAGTAATTAAGCTATTCATATTCGTGATCCTCTTATCATAAGCTTTATTTTGACCTGTGGACTTTTATTATACGATTTACCATTCTTGAGTTATACCTAGTCTATCAATTACTACATCCCACACTCACAGCCACTTTTAGCGAAATCTTGTACAAATACGCTGAATATGGTCAAGAAGATCTTGTCAATGTTGAAGAGTATGACATAGGTAAGTATAAAGCGGTCAATTTAGTTTGTCAGAACGTTGACATTTGACATTGATTGAATGGATAGATAATTAGAACTGAACATCGATTGATTGGAATAAACAACCAAGTTCAATTTCAAACACCGAAAACGTTTAGTTGCATGAGTCGTATAGGTGTATCTGGGGCGTTCATTGAATTATCGGATCAACGTTAATATAGCGGTAATCAAACTTGTAATCTAATAGCTTTGGGTTGTCTAATTAAAAAACTCGGCCACATATTTAATGCTAAGACTAGCGACTATATTGCTACATGATCTATAGAATTTGGTCAGCATTAAAGGACTAGACAGCCATGACTCTGTCTGCCCTCAGTGATCGTTCAAGAGCGAAAACATTTTTTACAGAATGTTGGCCACAACGTATCAAATTAAGAAACCCGGTGACGCGGGTTTGAGTCCCACAAAGAGCATCAGATCCCTTACAATAGCAGGTACGCCTCTACTGATGAGTAATAACTAGCACGAAACCTGATCCAAGGAATGTTTCCTTTAAAATAATTGCAACCAACCCATTTTAAATATTCTTTGAGTTCTAATTCAAGACCCGCACGGAACTAATTTCACCAAAAATTAAGATAAAAGACCACACAATTAAGAAATAAATATCGATTTTCCTCAAATATTGATAAGGATGATGTTAAAGATAGTTAATTACTGATTGAAAATGTTTTTTTCCATCATGGTTAATGTGTAAGTATGTTGACTAAATTTCGATGAAATAAATGAACAAATCAAACAACTGAAATAATGAGGACTTCAAAGTAAACATAAAATGGAATAAATCGAATTTCATGATTTTGACATGTGGTAAGTTTTAAAAGGATAAATATCTACAAAGATTATTCATTTTGTAACATCCATTTTTCTTCGATACTTCTTCATGTACGCATTTTAAACCATCATCATTCTTTCTACACTTTAGTAGGTTATAATAATGTAAGTTTGTGGTTGCGGCGAGTCGGCAGAAATTTTCGAACCTTAGTTTCATGCTAGTTGGGATTCATCAAAATGTGAGATTCGAACCCGTTTAAACTAGTGTGCTATAACCAGAGATATCACCACTAAGGTATTTAACCCATTATCGATCACTTGTAAGACTAAAATGTTTGCTCTAGTGTCTTAATCTTGATAGAACTCTATCGATTTAGTTGTGAAATGATTGCTAGTCTAATTATGGATAGATGTAGTAAGGATTACACGCTTTGATGAAAGTTAGTGGTTGGAAAGAATTTGTATGTAGTTCCGCACTTGTGATTATAATAATAATAATGTCAAATAATTTCTCCTAGCAAAAAACCTATATGAAAAGAATTAATCCAGAGTATTTCACACTAAGCGTATAATGTTTATACTCAATGTGATGTACTAATCAATAGTATGTGTTTGATAGGTAATCCAACGAACAAAGAAATAGCTTTACAAATATGCAGCTCTTTTAAAACAAACAAAAGTAAATGAGATCAATGTGTTGTGTTTTTTGTTGAATAATAACAAAATAACTTATATAAATTTTATGTATTATATGGAAGTACGACTAAAGTGTCCTGTTAGTATGTGTAAGTGAGCATGGTTAGGGCAGTTGAATTTATATCTCTCAGTAAACGAATTAACATACGACAAACTGAAGTCGGACATGAAAGATACTGGCATAATAAGAAACATCGAACACGGTGTTATTGACCTAGTTAAAGCGGGACACATTATTTCACATTTTTAAGTTCATTCGATTTTCAAACTCGTGTATGTTGAAATATCGGCATCACTGAATGAATGTTGTGCTTCCTACTTCGTTGAATCCATAGGTTAGTAAACTCTTACACTACCAAAAAATCCAATTTATCAACTCATACTTTGAATCAATCAATAATCAAACAACTAAAACACGAAACTTACATTAGTGCTGGGTGATTATGTAACATATCTACACGTAGACGATTTTCCCGTTTCGACCACATAGACGGTACATCATATGGATTAAATTTTATCAGAGAATTTTCAAATTCTTCAAGTGAAATAGGAATAGTTTTCAAAATACGATTTATCTGCTCTCGTACCACGCATAAAATCTACTTGACCAAAATAAAACGACACGGTTGGTGAAATGAAAAGTTCAATAAAACAAGAAAGTAAAAGGAGAGAGACAGGAAGACTATACATAAGTTTTATGATTATGTGATGCAAAAAAATGTAGCGATAACAACAACAGCAACAAAGTAAACAGGCTGTAAACACGTAATCAGAGAAAGAAGAATTTGTAGAAAAGAAAAGTAGCGAATACAAGGTATTAAAGAGAGAGTCTACACGATTAATATTTAGGTTAGGGTTTAGCTCCATCAAGATGTTACTGCTGTGTCGGGATGGGCATACAGGAAAAGCGAAATATCAAAACAATCCTACCTAACAATTATCAAAATTATAATTTAACAAGTTAATTTCTGTTTGTAGTAAATCTCGATGTGTAATGTACACTAAACAAAATAGAATACGAAGTGATAATTAAAGTTATGTACTTTATAGAATCGAAATTCCAGTAGAATATCAAAAAAACATTTTCAAAATTAAAAGTAATAAACAAAAAACGATTAATCAACCGAACAAACGTGAAAGCCGGAATGATAGCTAGTTTATTGAACGTTTACTTGCGATGTTTTCTGGTGTAGGAGTAGGTTGGAAGAAAGCTAGGGGCGGCCAGACCAAAACATGGCACGAATCCATGAAGTCACTGACAAGTGGACTGAGTCATGTTGATAGATATAGACTGCCTGGTTGGGATCTGCGAGACGATAACAACCGATGTTTAGAGACCTCGAATGACATGGCTCAAAATCGTTTGCAATGGCGCAGGTGCATCCACTCTCTGTGTTCTCTCAAACTCTAATCTTCTGTATTCTTCATGTCCTTTATTTTCTTTCCAAATCTATTCCACTGGACTATACTCCTTAAATAACATCATCAAACCCTAATGTTCCCTATCACTACCTCTACCACTATGGGATTCGAATCGATAACTGAATCTCTGTGCTAATGTGGTATGGCAACTCGAACTGATGTACGTACGTACGAAGTTCCACGTTGTTACTGACTGACTGACTGAACGTTTTCTGCCTTTATTTATAATATTATTCATTATTATGAGGTGTTTTTTGTAGAAGCTGTTGAGTTTCGAGTGGATGCCGATTGATTGATCTAAAGGTTTAGCACTCATTGCAAAACCTGAAGGTTATGGGTTCGAATTCAAGTGGGGTTGTTGATTCGCACTGTTGAGGAGTCCTATACTGGTATGAAACAGCTGTTCAGTTTATAGTTTGAAATTTCTGTCTTACTAAAGTCAATCGGTGATGCAAACTACTGAACAACATTCAGTTCAGATAAATAAACAAGTGTCATCAGTTAAAAATGTTCTATTTTTATATAACTTTGACGATCTTTATAACAAATCTTTAGTGAAACTAAGTGTGAAGGTTTGGATTGACTAAACAAAAAGAAGTTTAATTAAACGCTTCATAGTTGCTGAAGCTAATGTTCTAGAGCATCTATCCCCTACTAAAAACTATTAATAAAGAAATCAGTTTAACTTTGTTTGAATGGTAACGAAATATTATTACGTGCCCTTTAGAAGATCTAATACACAAAAGTATTGTACTCTTCACTTACATAGAAATATTGGAGAAAGAATATTGTGATAGTATAACTATTTATATTTAATTGACTAAACAACAATTGAAGCAATAATCAATTATCTCTGAAAGTGCTCGATACAATCAGATGGTAATCAAAAATAGATTAAATGAATGAATTATAACACATATCACATACAGGGTTTTGTAATAAATAGGATAATTTGAGGAGACTACACATCTTTATTGTTTGACTGGACGATTGAATAGTATAATCTAAATGACAATGGATTGATAGTAAATGATTGATAACAATTATAATATGGAAATCCTAGTTGCGAATTAACAAGGACGAGACGGAAGGTCCTGGGTTCGAGTCCCGCGTGAGGAATCGTGGATTTCCATCACTGAGGATTTCAATACTAAGACAAAACAGCTGACCAGTGTTTCCAGGTTTTCGATGGTGATCTAATATTAATCGATTCATAATCTCCATTAAAACTCGATAATCTCCACGATCCTATGCTGAAAACAGGACGATTTTGGTATAATGTGTTAATCCTTAGGATAAAAATGCAAAAAAACGTTGTCACTTCTAAAAACTAGTTCACTGAACAAAGTTTTTAAACAAATAAATAAATTCCAAAAATGCTACTGCACAATTAAGTGTGGTTTGTATGTAAAAATGGAGTCAAAAGAGAGCAAGAACAATTAACTATACATAGACAAGAAGCACAGATCGAATTTACATAACCCAGTTATTTTCATTTCATAACACATTACAATATGAAGTGAATAACATACTGTTAAGCCTTTTGAAAACCGTAAAAGTTACAAATGATTGATTAATAAATGACGATTAAAACATATATTTGTTTGGTTTTTAGTATTGATCGAATTCTATAGAGCAAGGTTGTAGGCACGCAGCTTCGACTCCTACAGGAATAATCAATCCCCTCTAAACTCAAGGTAGGTTTTGGTTGACGATTGTTAACCGGCACGAAACTTAAGTAAAGTAGGGTTTTCTTCCAACTACCTCTGGACACATAGTACTTCCAAAAAGTATTACAAAATAGATAAAGGTATGCTTTTAAGTATATCTTTGAAGGGTTTGTTATGATTGGTGATCTATAGTTTATAATCTATTCAATCACTTCACTTAAATATCTTAAGTTCCTAAATAACTTAGAGCAAAATCTTGCTGATTGAAGTTATGCAAAGGCTCTTGACTAATTTGAGTAACAATAAAAACTTATGTCAGGTGACTGGTTATGGTATACAGAGAACACTGATTGAACCAGATTTCTCGATAGTTGACACTGCCTAGCAAGGCATAACTGCAATCTTAAGAGAACTGATGAGGCTTCAAATACTACAGGAATGATCAGTTCTCTCGAGACTCTAGATATGTTTTCGTTGATGAATGCCAAGGTACCTGAAACCTCGGTTAAGTAGGGTTTCCTGTTGATTACTTTCAGTCACTAAACATCAAAACATAGTGCAAGCAATGATGAGTCACTTAGACTAGTAGCCATATTGCAACTTGATTGATGAGCGCTATCTGAGCCAAAAGAGATTAAACAAACCCAATAAGAGACACAAATCAGAGACCAATCAATATTATTTAAACTATGCTATTCTTAATCAAACATTATTAATTCATCAACTGTACCGATTATGAAATGTTTATTTTCAAAACGAAATTTCATTTCGATAAACGGATAAGACATACATTACGCAAATCATCAAACCGCACCACGAGACAAGCGCTAACTTGGAATCCTAAAGGAAGGGAAGTAAGTAAGTAAGTAAGTAAGTAAGTAAGTAAGTAAGTAAGTAAGTAAGTAAGTAAGTAAGTAAGTAAGTAAGTAAGTAAGTAAGTAAGTAAGTAAGTAAGTAAGTAAGTAAGTAAGTAAGTAAGTAAGTAAGTAAGTAAGTAAGTAAGTAAGTAAGTAAGTAAGTAAGTAAGTAAGTAAGTAAGTAAGTAAGTAAGTAAGTAAGTAAGTAAGTAAGTAAGTAAGTAAGTAAGTAAGTAAGTAAGTAAGTAAGTAAGTAAGTAAGTAAGTAAGTAAGTAAGTAAGTAAGTAAGTAAGTAAGTAAGTAAGTAAGTAAGTAAGTAAGTAAGTAAGTAAGTAAGTAAGTAAGTAAGTAAGTAAGTAAGTAAGTAAGTAAGTAAGTAAGTAAGTAAGTAAGTAAGTAAGTAAGTAAGTAAGTAAGTAAGTAAGTAAGTAAGTAAGTAAGTAAGTAAGTAAGTAAGTAAGTAAGTAAGTAAGTAAGTAAGTAAGTAAGTAAGTAAGTAAGTAAGTAAGTAAGTAAGTAAGTAAGTAAGTAAGTAAGTAAGTAAGTAAGTAAGTAAGTAAGTAAGTAAGTAAGTAAGTAAGTAAGTAAGTAAGTAAGTAAGTAAGTAAGTAAGTAAGTAAGTAAGTAAGTAAGTAAGTAAGTAAGTAAGTAAGTAAGTAAGTAAGTAAGTAAGTAAGTAAGTAAGTAAGTAAGTAAGTAAGTAAGTAAGTAAGTAAGTAAGTAAGTAAGTAAGTAAGTAAGTAAGTAAGTAAGTAAGTAAGTAAGTAAGTAAGTAAGTAAGTAAGTAAGTAAGTAAGTTGATTCATCTTACTGTAAGTCAGTTGGTCTTACGATGGTAGAATTGATATTCAAATGAGTTTATTTGGGTAAATCCTTTTTTTCATTGTGCTAACTTATTGATGAACTGACTTAATTAATATTACCTGTCAAAATATTGATGTCGAAAAAATCAAGATACGTATGATATATATATATATATATATATATATATATATATATATATATATATATATATATATATATATATCTTAATGGGAGACAGGAAAATATCCAGCCTCTAATAATGAATGTCACTACCACTTAATGGCGTAGTTTGATCTTCTCTTTAAAGTAATTAATTATGAGGAAATTTCCTTCCTATGGGAACTTAAACGCTTTTAGCTCATATAATCATTCATTTTAATACCCTTATTGCTTCCTGGAAAAAAAATCCTTATTAATGGTGTTACAAGCATTAAACCCGTTAACGAAGTTAGTGGTTATATCAACTTGGAAGCTCATTGGATAATACATTAAATTTTAAAACGAAAGAAACTTGGTTCAAATCCTAACATGGACGTATAAGCATTTAAGACAACGCACATCTGCGCCGGGCTCCATGTTGATGATGATTAGATGAAGCAAAATACAAATGATCTAAAAAAGACCCTTATTATGTGATGAAGAAATATTTTGAAAGGCCAGGGATGGACAGAAACCTTTCTTCAGGGCAAGGTTTTTTTGCACTTAAAATATAGATATTATGATGACCTTGTTAAAAAATGTTTTCTGTTTTTAGAATTCTCTACGGTGTCCTAAAAATCTAATATCATACAAGGTCATTGGCACTGATAGTAAGAATAGAAAAAATAATAGTAACACTATCAATTGTGCACCTGATTTACGTGCATAATCTACACCGCTATATATATATATATATATATATATATATATATATATATATATATATATATATATATATATATATATATCATTTGGACTTCAGTTGTCCATCATTAACAAAAAGAAGAACTAATGCTTTTAAATCCCAAGCATTTTATATTAGGAATTTATGTTTCAATATATCTTGCAGTACATCCTAACTAAACGTTTATATTAAAGCAAAAAGATTAAAATATATTAACTATGTTCTGAAATTCCATCTTTCCGTTTTTCTTCGGAGAGAAAAATCCAAAAATTTCTTAGAAAAACAAACAAATGATAATAATTTACATTCACCTACTTTGTTTATTATCTAATCTCGAATAAAAGTGTTTACCATAGTTTTACAAGCAAAATCAAATGTCACCATATTTAACTGGTTACCCACAGTACTTTGAATAGTTTTTGTCTCTCAGATAAATTCACATGTCTAGATGTATTATGTCTGTACAAAACGTCAGCAAGAGTATGATGAGTGGGTGTAAATAACTCTTTCTATGACTTGGATCGCAGATCGATCAGCATCGTCTATCACAATACACGCAGACAAATATCCATTAAGATAGATAAACAGACTGACTGAAAATAGGTAGACATGCTAAATAAAACCTACTCCCATAACAGTTAGGCCATGCACGTATGAATGGAAACTGAAATGATGTTTATTCCATTTGTCAATTTTATGATGGAATTAAATACTGAGAGTTGATCATATGAGATTCCAAAACAATCTTACGAATGGTCCTGAATATAAATTTTGAGAAATGTATTTTAATAACTTTCTTATTTGGCAAATAAGGTCTGTGAAAATATTTATTGATATGTATATCTGTTTCAAAACCAATTCTCTTTCGAAGAGCTATCTAATCCAAAACTAACACTGATAAACAGTTCACTACACAGACTGATTTAGTTTGGTAATCATTCAAAATCAGGGAGCGACGGAGGGCTGTTTCGTGTTAGAATGAGAAACCTCGGAAACGAGCACCTAAAATTCTACTGGGAATCGATCATACACTCCCTAGGTCTCGTAACATATGATTCTCGGTTCTCAGTCGTTGCCTAACTAAGGTCAGTTCGTGACGTAAACTATGAAATTCAACAAACTGATAATATTCATCAAATTGTATTTCATATTCAGGGTATGAGAACATACAATAATATATAGTTAACGTCTTGATTTGTTTTAATCCATTAAATGTATGTATTTTTCTTCCTTTCTTGAAAAAGTGTCCAGTTAACATTGCTGATTACAATAAACAATCTTTTGTGTATCTGTACATATAACATTAGTATAAGAACATTAGAACAAAAGAAAAGCATTGTTACTAGACAAATCAAAGACACTTCAACTAAGAAGATTTCATTTTTGACGTTTTCATCTACCAAAGTTGTACCATTTTAGTCTTAGTTACTTTTACACATAGTAGTCTATATAGCAAAATAGAAAAATATTAGGTCAGTAACAAAAATACCAATAGTGAATCAGAGGAATTTCAATTCAAGTAATAGTCAAACAGTTATAAGAATGAAAAAAACATATAGAAAAGAGAACTATGAAAATTTGGCAAATAAAAGGAAAAAAAGAAGAAATGAACACGTGCTAACAAAGTTTACTTTAGAAGTCCAAAAGTGGTACTATAGTGTCTGGTACTATGTCAAGCTCACATGGGTTATTCTAGCCTCTGGACAGACCAATTTATCCATTTCTTTTTGAGCCACATTTTGACCTTGTCAATTAGTCGCTTATTAACCCTGTCTGTTTCCATGTGATAGTATGTGTGTTAATTATTCACCTTATCGATTATGTTACTTACTTAGTTGCTTACGCTTATTACCCCTCATGGAGGAGCATAGGTCACTCACCACGCATTCTCCACCCAACTCTGTCCTGGGTAATCCTTTCCAGTTGATATTCATCCTTTTTATGTCTGCTTCCAATTTTCAACGCAGTGTGTTTTTTGAGCTTCCACTTTTCCGCTTCCCTTCAGGATTCCAGGTTAGTGTCTGCCTCGTGATGCAGCTTGATGATTTCCTCAATGTGTGTCCTATCCCGTTCCAACGTCTTTTCTTAATTTCCTCTTCAGTTGGAAATTATAGCTTGTTCTTTCCCACAGTAGGCTGTTGCTATTCGTTACGTATCTGTTACTTATTTTGATCTGAATATAATTAATTAGTCACGCTTGATCAAATCGAGTTGGCTCACTCACCTTCGCTTCCTATTATGAATATCTGGCTGAATAAAGAATGCTTAAAATAAATTCCATCAACGTAACTCGTGTTTGGCTTCTTATTACCGGCGTCACACACACAGGGTTAGCCTAGGTAGTACTTTAGTGAGCCTCTTATCTGACTCCAATTATATCATTTGCTGATTGCTATAGGAATATACATGTCGCCAATCCTCACATATAAATATCGACTTAACTCGCGTTAGTAAATAAAGGAATTAAAAAGTCATGTACGAGAATGGATTTTTGAATACGTTTATTTTGTACAATGCTCGATCAGAAAGCGAAGCAAAACGAACTAACGCGTGGTGCAGAAGGTGAGTGAGCGTGACTCAATATTTATAGCTAGGCAAAAGTAAGTCACGGACATTTGATGAGTAAGATAAGAAATGCACACACGTTTACATAAAAACAGTCAAGTTGACAAGCGAATAATTAACAAGGTCAAAATATGACTCAAGAAGAATTGAATAAATTGGCCTGTCCAGAAGCTAGAATAAGCTATGTGTGCTTGACATAGCAACCGACAAGGAGACAAATTGAAGATTTATGTTCATGGTATATTCATACGTTTATCCAAATCGGAGTCAGATCAGCTGGTCATAAAAGTACGTCCAAATCCTTAATTTATTATGGCTCTAACACCTTCATCTCAACTTATTTTGTAAGTTGTTTTTTAGGACATATTCATTCTTTTATTTATCTTTCTTACATTCATCAAGTAGAGAACTACCTTTCATATATAGATATATAACATTGAAAACCTGGAAGCACTGGACAGCCGTTTCATTCCAGCCAGGTGCATGTCTTTCCACAAAATTCAAACCAGACAGAATTAATCAAAACAAAATTCATAAATTACTTCTGCATACAAAAGAATCTCTGTATATCGTAAACTGACAAAAATACTGAATATCCTTTGAGCTGTTTTAGATCAATTAAAAGTAAAAATATACATAGAAACGGTGAAAAACCGACAGTAAATAAGTGAAAACCTACTGCAATTAAATCTTCTGGAACAGCTTTCATTTGAGTCCATGAAGAGAAAAATTTTGAAAAAACACAATCGAATATATCTTCAAATGATGATAAGTTACTTTGATAATGATTAGTATTATTATTTGATTTATTAAGTAAAATTGGATATAACGGCGATGAAAGATAAAAATCCTTGTCATCTTGTTCTACAATAATATTTGGTTCATGAATTGTATCTAACAAAGAAAATGGAGTATAATTAGGTAAACTAGATTAAATAAATCTGTTTAATTAAAAAAAATTATTTTATATTCTAGATTGGGAACACTTTACTTACTTACTTACTTACGCCTGTTACTCCTCGTGAAGGAGCATAGGCCGCTCACCAGCATTCTCCATCCAACCCTGTCCTGGGCAATCCTTTCAAGCTCTTTCCAGTTCTTATTCATCTTTTTCATATCTGCTTCTATTTCCCGACGTAATGTGTTCTTTGGCCTTCCTCTTTTCCGCTTCCCTTCAGGATTCCAAGTTAGCGCTTGTCTCGTAATGCAGTTTGATGATTTCCTCAATGTATGTCCTATCCATTTCCATCGTCTTTTCCTAATTTCCTCTTCAGCTGGAAGCTGGTTGGTTCTCTCCCACAAAAGGCTGTTGCTGATGGTATCCGGCCAATGGATGTTGAGTATCATGCGTAGACAGCTATTAATAAATACCTGTACCTTCTTGATGGTGGTTGTTGTAGTTCTCCAAGTTTCAGCTCCGTACAGTAGAACTGCCTTGACGTTCGTATTGAAGATTCTGACTTTGATATTGGTTGAAAGTTGTTTTGAGTTCCATATGTTCTTCAGTTGAAGGAATGCCGCTCTAGCTTTGCCAATCCTCGCCTTGACGTCTGCATCTGAACCTCCTTGTTTATCGACGATGCTTCCCAGGTATGTGAAGGATTCCACGTCTTCCAGAGTTTCGCCATCAAGAGTGATTGGATTGCTGTTCTCCGTGTTGTGTTTGAGGACCTTGATTTTCCCTTTGTGTATGTTGAGGCCTACTGATGCAGAGACTGCTGCTATGCTGGCTGTCTTTATCTGCATTTGTTCGTGTGTATGTGATAGGAGGGCTAGGTCATCTGCGAAGTCCAAGTCGTCTAATTGGTTCTGAGCTGTCCATCGTATGCCGTAGTTTCTCTCAAATGTCGAGGTCTTCATAATCCAGTCGACCACCAGAAGAAACAGGAAGGGAGAGAGTAGACAGCCTTGTCTTACTCCGGTCCTTACTTGGAATGCGTCTGTCAGCTGTCCTCCATGCACTACTTTGCACTGTAGTCCATCGTATGAGTTCCGGATAATGTTGACAATCTTCTCAGGAACTCCGTAGTGTCGAAGAAGTTTCCATAACGTCCTCCTATCTACACTGTCAAATGCCTTCTCATAATCAATGAAGTTGATGTAGAGTGACGAGTTCCACTCAATTGATTGTTCGACGATGATCCGTAGTGTCGCAATCTGGTCTGTGCACGACCGGTCCTTACGGAATCCAGCTTGTTGATCTCGAAGTTGAGCGTCAACTGCGTCTTTCATCCTGTTCAGTAACACTCTGTTGAAGACTTGACCCGGTATTGACAGTAGTGTAATGCCTCTGTAGTTTTCACACTTGCTCAGATCTCCTTTCTTTGGAATCTTGATGAGGTGTCCTTCTTTCCAATCCATCGGCACTTGTTCCTCCTCCCAAATCTTCTTGAATAGAAGATGAAGCATGCTTGTAGTTACTTCGATGTCTGACTTCAACGCTTCAGCTGGTATATTGTCAGGTCCTGCTGCTTTCCCGCTCTTGATTTGTCTGACGGCCATTCTGATTTCTTCTGTCGTTGGTGAATTGACATCTATAGGAAGATCTGTGTGTGCTGCTTCGATGTCCAGTGGATTCATTGGAGCCGGCCTGTTCAGGAGTTCCTCGAAGTACTCTGCCCATCTGTTCCGCTGTTGTTGAATCTCAGTAATTGGTCTTCCTTCTTTGTCTTTGACTGGTCTCTCTGGTTTACTGTATTTCCCTGCAAGCTTCTTCGTCGTATCGTAAAGCTGTCTCATATTTCCTTCTCTTGCAGCTTTTTCCGCCGTCGTTGCTAGTTCTTCCACGTATTTTTGCTTATCAGCTCTAATGCTCTTCTTCACTTTCTTGTTTGCTTCTATGTACTCTGCTTGTGATTGGACTTTCTCTGCTCTTGTTCGACTGTTGTTAATTGCTGTCTTCTTGTTCCTCCTTTCTTTGATCCTGTCCAGTGTTTCTGTAGAGATCCATTCCTTGTGATGATGCTTCTTGGGGCCCAGAACCTCTTGACACGTTGAAGTTAATGTTTCTTTGATACCTTTCCAGCTATCCTCCATAGTAGTTTCTTCTTCCTTCAGTAGATCCTGTAAGGCTTGGAACCTGTTGTTGAGAGCTACCTTGAATTCATTGAGTTTGTCAGTATCTCGAAGGAAGGCTGTATTGAACCTTTGTGGTGCTGTTTGTCCAGTTGTCCAGTTCTTCTTTAGCTTCAGTTTCAATTTGGCCACAACTAGGTGATGATCTGAAGCTATGTCCGCTCCTCTCCTGGTTTTCACATCTTCCATTGTCCTTCGGAACTTTTTATTGATGCAAATGTGATCTATCTGGTTCTCTGTGGTGTGGTCCGGTGAGATCCTTGTAGCTTTGTGTATACGTTTGTGTGGAAATGTTGTACCGCCTATGACCAATTTATTGAATGCACACAGATTTGCAAATCTTTCCCCGTTTTCGTTTCTCTCTCCCAGTCCATGCAGTCCCATGATGTCTTCATATCCGGTGTTGTCCATTCCGACTTTGGCGTTTAGATCTCCCATCAGAATGGTGAGGTCCTTTCTTGGGCACTTCTCTATGATTGATTGCAGCCTCTCATAGAATTGATCCTTAACGTCGTCGTTGCTATCATTGGTAGGTGCATAACATTGGATAATGTTCATTGTGATCCCCTCCTTCTTTGTTTTGAATGATGCTTTGATGATTCTGGATCCGTGAGATTCCCATCCTACAAGTGCATTTCGTGCTACTTTGGATAGCATTAGAGCAACTCCCTGAGTGTGTGGAGCATTTTCCTCTTCGTGACCGGAGTAAAGCAGCATCTCTCCCGTATTTAGCCTTTGTTGTCCAGCTTGGGTCCAATGGGTTTCACTGATTCCCAGTACTGCCAAGTTGTATCTCCTCATTTCCGTTGCTATTTGACTGGTCTTCCCGGTCTCCCACATTGTCCGGACGTTCCATGTACCTATAAAAATTGTTGCTCTGGTTGTTAGAAGGGGCATCGGCCTCGTGGCTTCCGAAGGAACTCGGCTTTCACCATGAAGCGTCATATTACCTCTAACTCCCAGGGCAGGGTTTAAATGGTTTGAGTTATTTTTTCTGGTTAGCGTTTTTTTAGCGAGTTAGGTTTCTACGGGATGGGGACGCTAACCCCATGCCCAACCCTCCTCCTTTACCCGGGCTTGGGACCGGCAGTAACTCTGGAAGAGTTATAGGCGGAGTTGGGAACACTTTACAAAATCATAATGAACAACATAAAATAATAATAAAGATGCTTTTTAATCCAGTTTGAAACTTACGATAGTGTATACTAATTTTAAGCAGTAATCACATGATCGTTCAATATAGTGGATCATTTTCTCTAAAGTATAATTATCATCATCTGGTATCACCAATAAGTAACAATAGTCATTAAAAATTAAAAAAAGATTTATTTTAAAACCAATCATTAGTGAATAATGACGTGTTCAATAAGAGGAGGGTGATAAATAAAGAGACAATTTTTCAAAGCCTCTTCATTTCCCCTTTAGATATCTGAATGATATTTTATTCACAATGAATCTAAGTATTCATTCAGTGGAGTTAAAACAACTGTATCATCATTATAGTTTCGCAGTTAACTCACTAGAAGTTCAAACTTCGGGTTGTGGGTGTGGGAACGTCTCACTATTTTGGAGTTCATATAATATCACTAACATTTAATAGTATCTAAATAGTTACTTCTGCTTTTCTTATTCCTATTTTTATCATGCTTCCCAAGATCAGAGTGGTTAGTATACAAACACAACTGTCCTACCATAATTCTAATATCTTTACAAACCAAAATTTTCCTGAGTTTCTGTTTTTTTTTCTTCAATTGCAGAGGGGGTCCATACTTGGAGTGTCATCTATTTAGTTCAAGTAGATCCTATTTCGCATTAGAAAAATCTCGTAATCTTTTGCAGTTTGGATTTACTTTAAACTAATCAAAAAACCAGAACAGCTTTACTTATAGCTAACTCATACACAAACAAAAATGTCACAGAAAGTCAAGTGATTGCACACGAAGCTTTACATTTGCTTATTGGTATATATTTACAGTTTATCAGCATCAAGTATAGATGAACTACCAAAAAACGAAGTAGGCATATTTTCCTCTTTCATTACTACTATTTACTTACCATTAGTTGTAAGCAATTCACATAGCATACTTGTCACAGCATTAGCAGCTTCAATAATTGGAAATAATGGCTTCTTATCAATTAATGATGAAATTGTCGAAGAAGATGATGAAATGGAATAATTACATAAAAAACTATTGTGACTATAATACTCGTTCATTGGTTTAAATGATTGTGATAAATTAGATGATGCTATTAATGAATCCAGTGTAAATCGTCGTCCAATAAAATTATTACGTTGATTTTGTATACTATCATCATGTAAATGAGTAGTATGTAATATATTTTGAATAGAATTCGAATCAACAGTGGAAAAATGACGTTGAACACGTTGTTGTGACAACTTACTACTAATTTCATTCACACTAATACTATCATTATTATTATTATTCATATTCAAAGAAGATAATATATTGAGTTCTGATAAATGATACAATTTACAATGATTATTAGTGGTGTTATTGGTTAGATAGGAATGTTTTTGACATGGATAAGCATAATTAAGCATATCAATAACTTTATTTCTATTTTTCATTATATAATTATAAATACATTGAAATCCAAGTGTACCTGGTGGTTTTTCAAAGTCAGCATACGGATCAGTCGGTATCTAAAATAGTTCAAGTCAATAAAATAATATTTATAGCAAATAGAGATGAGGCGTTCTACATAAAGTAAAATTATAATAAAAGTAATTACTAGTATTATTATTATCACACGTAAATGTAAACAAGTGAAAGGTTGCGCAAAATCATTAATCGATTGAAGTTAGACGTTGACACCGTTGGATACCGGTCCAGGGGTCTATGGATTAAGCGTTTGCGAGCAAGACCGGAGGTCCTGAGTTCGAGTGCCGCGTGTGGGATCATGGATGTGCACTGCTGAGGAGTCCCATAATAGGACGGAACAGCTGTCCAGTGCTCCCGGGTTTATAATGATGGTCTAGCTTAGATTGACTCGCGCATTCATCCGTTAAAGTATGTAAATGCATTAGAATGTTGATTATTGAGTAGTTAGTACTGTTGATATTGATCATTGAACATCAAGGGAAGACACAAATTCAAACTCTTAAAACTACAATTCCAAATCCTAAATAAAGAAAACGGTTTTGTATTTTTATTTATTTCATCTTTCTCTTGTTATTTTCAGTGAATTTTCACTATTCTTGTTAACAAATGTATTTGTGCTTATAATTTTAACAAAGGGATACATTTAAGATTGTAAATGAATTCGCTGAAAAAAGACCTTTTCGTTGAGCAAATGTTTGTTATTTTTATGTCACAACAAGTGAGTTAACTGAAGTTAAAAATGTGGACAGTCGGATGATAATAATAACTCAATCTGACATAAATGTTAATAAGGATTGGTCCCTTAATGAGGTCGTGTGTGCATATCGGTAAGAGGTTTTGAGCTGAAAATGAATAACCTACTCAGTAACCCACAGGGTTTTCAATGTATCACCAGTTGAAGCCGATTTGTGGTAGGAACTATATCAGAATTCAATTATTCATTACTAACAAGCAAAAGTTATAATCTTTTGATCTGTTTTAATGAAATGATACTAAGTACTTACTGGAGCCTTAAAAATTCACAATTCAATGATACAAAGAATCAGGTTTTTATTGTCAAAAACCTATCATTTTGATATGTGGTAGTGAGAGTAAAGTAAGTGTAAGTAGTCACTGAGTGTGGACAAACAGACACTTAGATTAATGTCTAGTAATTATGTAATTTCTTCTTTCCTTATTGATTTCTACTCCGAATTCACTGAGACTGACCTCTTGTAATTATATGGCATAATTTATTCTCTAGTTTTAATCTGGTTCTCTAATTTTTGTCGTGAATCGGGTATCTGATATAACGTGATCTGGTCTGTATGTGATGGATCGTTCGAGTACCCAATTTAGTGGTTTTATAAAGTCGGTCATCTGGTCCACTCTTATTACCATATTATGGTATTAGCATAGTATAGCACCGAGAAGAAAATATTTTAATTCATCTTTTATATCACGTTTCAAGGAAAGAAATGAATTAAACGATATAGGGGTAAATAGAAGAACATACTTAATAACATGAGTAGAGATATTCGTAATCATATCAAATCCATTACCTTAATCAGCTCTTCATCATAGCTCTACACTACTATATATATAGTAGATTTTGACTAAAATTATTTTTGTCTTTCAACTTAAATCAGTTACTTATAAAGTTAAAGTTTGTAATGTATCATATAACATCTTTCCCATAGAATAATGCAACTAACTTATATAAGAAGCATGTTTATGCATAGAACTTTGCTGTACACTGTTTTGATACGTTTAGTACTTTGAATGCTTCAGCAAGTGAATTCCTAGCTGCTTCAAGTCCTTAGAAATTATTGACTACTCAGTGTTGAACTGATATGTGGCTGGTAAAAGTAAGATGTGATTAGCCACTGAGCGTGAATAGATAAGCATCAGCTTACTAATTATTTAATATGTGATTTTCTTTTTGTTATTAATTTCTACATTTATACTCACTAGGTGTAGATTACCCGTAATTGTGTTGAGTAAAGTATTGTCTAGCCCATATACATAGACATATATTCTGTATTTTTGGCCCTAAATAGTGTATCTGGTATAACGTGACCCAGTAATATGTGTACAGAGTGTCGACAGAGTATTCAGCCTCGTGGTGGTGTAATATCGGTCACAGATTGTATTATTGTACAATAGTAGTATATTATGGCGATGAAAATAATTGTATTCTACCGTTGCATCACGGACAGAACATGCATGATGGAAGATATAAAATTTTTGCTTCGAAGGTTAGCTCCTGTACATAAATAAAACAATTTATTAAATTATAAGGAACTTTAGGATCATAAGAACTTAAGGAAAAGATGTTAAAATCAGTAACGAACTTGGTTCGAACAGAAAAGAGAAACCATAACAAGATTTTTTCTAGATTTTTTAAAGAGGTTACCGAAATGATCTGGTTTTAGGGTAGTTTTTAGCACTACTTCTGACTTCTGAAGAATGGTTTTAGGAAATTCTCAGTGGTATTCAATAACTGTTTACGCTATGGCTATTCGGAATCCCATACAGGATTTAGAAGTTCAATGCTCTGAAGTGCAAGCTACTAGTTGGAGACCGAGTGTTTTCCCTACCATAGAATTCCACTAAGATCATAGTTCAATAATATAAATTATAAAAACTATCACCATACCTTGAAACCTAGTTTAATACACGCTTCTTCAATACATTGCTCAGTTGGATTAATTGTGAAATCATCAAAATACACTGCTGAACATAGTTGTTTCATTTTTTCAACGGTTTCTTCGGACTATAAATATTTAACAAAGATAATAATAAAAATTACAGTGAGGCAACATAACTGACAAACAAAATGTATTATTACTAACTCAATTACCAGATACAGACTCGTTTACTTGACTTTATGCCACTCTTTGAGTATGAGAGGTCATACTGAATTGAATGAAGATAGGTTTGAACTTGGGATCTTGAAGCTGGAAATTGGACACCTCTATGACTGTGTCAGAGCTACACTACAGACAAAAAAATAAAAAGCGACTGTGAATTAGACAGTCAATATTTAAGGCCATCACCCAATTAGTGGTGTAGAACTTTTTACAGAAGATTTTGACTCATCTTGCTATATGGCTGGAATAACCTTATTAAAACAACCTATTTCGTTTTTAAATTACTTGCCTTTCCCAGTCTGTTGAAATTTGAGCTGTTATATATTCGCCCAGTGTGCTATGGTGACTGAACAGATAAGTGAAAAACTTGAAACAATTTTTATTATGGTAAATTTGCATTGTGAACAGCAGTGGGACCCAGGATGTGAGTTTCGTCCTATATTGAACTAGATGGATGCATCTGATTCGCATCGTAGCTAACCACACAAAATTACTGAGTCCACAAACTAGTTAAATGGATATTAAATTATTCAACTGTGTTTGTAATTTCCCATTGTTTATATTTAAGACTCCTATAAATTGGTCTCTGTCAAAGTTAGTGGAACCTGAGCGGACTGTCTAGAGAACATATTTTAATCACAAGTGTTTATTATACGAGATTCCACCGTTAATCACAATCCAACCATACTCAATTAATTATAATTAAAAACCGTTCAGAAATCACACAAGTCAACAATAACTTATCTCATGTGGTATTAAACATCTGCCATCAGTCAGTCATCTACAACGTAGGAACAGGTACATATATGCATCGGTACAAGTTGCCATACCTCATTAGCACAACAAGATGAACATCAACGTCATGGAAACAGTTACTTCAGTAATAATAATAAAAGATTTCATATAAGGATATGATACAGGGAGAAACAATTAGTTCGTAGGAAGAAAGTTATAAAGTAATTTTATTCTCACGGTTTAAGGCAAGACAAAGGGTGTATACACCTACGCCATTGTGATCGATTCTGAGCCATATCACCCAAAGTCACCAGTTACTGTTAACGTTAGTCGCGCGGACCCCAACCAAGTAGTCTCCATCTACCAACATGGCTAAGACCAGATGTTAGTGACTTTATGGACTGATGACTTTCTCCCATCTGTCTCCAACATTAGTCAGCATTGTGCACCACGGTAGTCGGTGGTTGGGTATGTGTAATACGTGGCCCGACCATTTCAGTTGATGTAAATTCCCAACCTCATCAACTAATTCACCATCATTACCTAATACCCTGCGCCTAACATCACTATCACTTACCCGATGATCCCAGCAGATGCAAACAATATTTCTAAGACATCTGCGATCAAATATCAGTAACTTACGAATATTAGCTATGAAAAAAATGAAAAGCGCATCATAATTAGAATATTTAATACAATTGAACTTACTGTACGAGGCAATGGCGTTTTCATTCTGGTAAATAATAAACTATTAATTAGTTGTTGTACTCGACATACTGAAATTAGTAGTTGTATACTGGATTGTTTATTATGATCATTACTAGTAATATTAGTAGTACTGTTATTATTACTCAATCGGTGTGATAATATACGTTGATGTGGTTCTTGTTCAACATTATCAATACTGGGTCTGTAAATATTCATATTATTATTGTCATTATTACTCTGGAAGCATTCTACTTTACATAAGGCATCATTTTCAAGAAAATTTGAAAAATCTTTCAAAAAATTTAACACCACAGTATTTTCAGAATTTTCATCAGATGATGGGAAACATGAGCTAAATGTTTCCATCATTGAATAATCAAAATGACATTTCTTTCGATAATATGAATTGATTATAAATTCCCAAAGTGAACGATCGCGTAATTCTGGAATCCACTTTAAATTAAATAAAAATATAAGATAGAGTAACAGATAGGAAATAAACAAACTAAAACCAAAAGTGAATGAAGGGGATTAAGTGATAAGTTGTATAAAAACTTTGTAAAGCAAACCACGAAAAAAATACAAACCCATTCGATAACCTAATTATTAAAAATCAACTAATTCAATATTTGATTGCGATAAAGAATTCTCAACAAGAAATAACATTTACTTCACATTGATCATATGTCCAATCCATAATTTCTAAATGTAAACTTCTCTCTCGTTTCTTCGAACCACGAAAGGAAAGGATAGAGTATCAACACCACTTTGGTACTAAAATAGTTGGAATTTCATTATATTTAACTTTACAAAACGTTGCACACAAGAAACATTGAAAAAGAATAACAATTCAGGAAGCTTCAACAAAATAACGTTCAATAATATTACTACATTTTCAGTAATTATTTGCAACTCCATATTTAATCAAATAAAAAAATCTCATGTCTTGAGGAGGAAAGATGAAAATTCATCCATTAGATTGGAATCTAATGATACATAATTACCAACCTCAGTTAAATTCTGATACAGTACGATGTATATCTAATGTTGCCAGTGGTTAAAATGTAAAGCATCCAGCATTACTTGAATTCATAGGTTACAGTTTCTGAACATAATCATCTGGTTACGTGGTTAACAGAGTTTTCTATAGTTTTGCCATTGGTTTTGCTTCTCATATGTCATATTAGTTCTTTTAATAATTTTACAAATTACATCACAATATACTTTACCTCAGTCTGCAATTTCGCGATTTTATCCTCTCTTATGACTGATCGCTTTAGATTTTTAAGGATGACCTACATTAGAATCATTTGAATAATTACGTGATGATTAAGTAGGAACTTCTGGAGTTGACAGTATTGTATGAATGTTGTGTGATCTGAGAGAAATAAGTTCCTGAGGTATGAATTTGTCTTTTGATGTACCCTTATTTCTGTTATCAATAGACTAATCAAAAACGTAGTTCTAACCATCCAATAGAAAGTCCGCTCTATGATGAATAACAACCGTCAACTTCAATGGAGTACCATCTCACAAATCTTCTCATTCCAGTCATGTCATTTCACATATCTATTTCAAGCTGAGAGGCGGAGAATGTTTTTCGAGAGATATTTGTTGGCGTTGAACTTCCAACAGAAGTGTTTCCCAAACAATAAACAGTTTATAGAAATCAAACTTCCTGTCATTTTATTATCTGCTATAGATACCGGCAAGAGAATGACTTTTATTATTAAATACGTGCGCAGAACGAAACAATATCGGCAGCTGACGACAACGTCTTTATCACATGGCTATTTTCCTCCAAATATCCTGTATATAATAAATTAGGTAAGCTATTGATTGTGGATGTCGGGTCGCTCGTTCATTTTCGTCTGGTGGACGGTCGATGGTTAGCACTATTAACTTGACATTTGTTGTAACATAATGATATCCGAAGGGCTTGAAATGTGTTCAGAAAATTATTATGTACCACCGTGAACTTTCATCATATGACGATTCACATAATTGTGTAAAATATTGAGACGCACATAAAATTTTACATTTTAGCAAGTAAATTAAATTCGGGATAGTGGTCAAACAGTTCGACACACCCACGAAATGAATGTACTTTTTCATTTATAATCACTAAGAGTAATAATAATAATAATAATTATTATTATTACTATTATTATTATAACCATATGATAACATCGATGATAAAATATACGTGTGAAATTATGTATTAACATTCATGAGATGTACGCCGTAATCGATAAAGACTTAGCCTTTTTTACGAATTACGTTTCATCTGTAGCATAAAATAGATGAAGTTAACCTGCAGGATTTAAGTCTAGGTCAGTATTAGTGTGTTTAAAAACTAATGCTACTACAAACCTACCTAATAATTTATACGGAATACACCGTTATTAATTTTGCATAACATAATTAGTCATGACGAGTAGTCCTTGACAGAATGAAATCAATGAAATTTAATGATTTTGTCATTAGAATAAACCTACATTTCACTAAAAAACTTAACTCTCATATTAGTAACAGTTTCCACTTAAAAGTGTCGTTAACATAGGATAAAACAGGGAAAATATCACGCTGCGTATTCTTTCTAAGTACAAATAGTATACCTTATGTTTTGGATTAAGTTGACGGTAAATGTCTAACTAACTAACTAACTTCAATATCACTTGCACAAATATACACACATTAATGGATTGTTTACAAACAATAAATCAGATATTGTTCTACATTTATCACAAAAATACGCAACATTAACCAAATTACTTCATTCAACACACAAATCAATAGCTTAATAGAGATTCAACTTTTCGGTGCACTGAAAGGAAGTTATCGAATCATGGGACGATTTTGTCGAGAAATAAGTTTAGATTTAACTGAATTCCCCATTGTGTTTCGGACTACATCTAATACTATTCAACCACTTACTATTCGGAGTGTTGCTTCTTCCTATCACGCACTTACTGACTACACAGAACACTGTTGTTTATATTAAAAATAATAACTGATATAATGCATACTATTGAAATTATTGTGTCAATTTCAATTAACTAGTGATAATAATAACAACAACAAAAGCAACAAAAACAAGCCATTGCTTATAGTCATCATGTTCGAATAACGAAAAGTGAAGTCCCACTAAAATATCAAAAACAGTGAAGAGATAAGATACGTGTCCGGAAAGCGCTAGCGCATTCATTCGTCAATCTTCAATATGTGTGCACTGACAACGATTTCCAGTCAATCTCCCGTCCATTCACTCAGTCCATCTTCCGTATAACAGAATAATCTTCACTGACAATTTCATTTCAAACTATAAATTTCACTTGATTTACCATTTCCATCACATAAGTTGCGATGGCGATATATTAATATCGAAGTGTCAATATAATAAGATAGATTGAAATCATTGCAATCAAATTTATAGGGAACACCCAACCAATAAATCAACGAACACAATGCTTGCAAGTGGTCAGTTTTCGAATTTTACTGAACACTGACGAACACCATTATTAGTCTTCCACCAGATTCAAATGTGTTTTCGAAAACTTATCAATCACTTCAATAAAACGAAAGAAATCGAGAACGATTGGCAATCATTCGAACTATTTACGGAAATCAGCTGTTATATAAAATAAAACAAACATCATTTATTAACTAAGTAGTCAGTTTTAAAAATACGAAAATAATCAATTATGCTTAATATGCAGTAGTGGTGAACTATATATAAGGAAACCTAATGAGCGGACCCAAATTCCATAGGTTAATGAATGACTTATCAAGCTCATATCTAACAACCATCTATGTTTCAAATGAATTTAAGTTAGTGGTTGTATGAACGTTTAGTTCATTGGGCAATGTGTTCGTGTCTGTGGTGAAATATTCTGGGTTTGACTATTTGAACTAAGAATTATGAGGAAGAAAAACGGAGGTAACAAAGCATACTCGCGCTAATACACACGTAAACAGACGTTAATGTTTGAACAAATTCAAAATAATGTATGTATTTCACCTAGGTATATTTCGAATACAAATAATAATGAAAAATATGAAAAGGAGAAATAAATTCAACAGTTAGATAAAGCAGAGTAAAAGCAACGATAAATATTGAAAACTCACTTCAGTAAATTGTATATTTTCGAAAAACTGATGTATTAAGCCTATCAAATGACCTTGTTGTTTTCCATAATAAAATATAACATATAAAAATTTCATAATATGATTTTGTATTTCACATCGTAATGTTACCAAACGGATTGAATTATAATTCACAGTAGATTTATAACCAACCATGTTTAATTGAATTCTACAAAATGTACGTATATAAATATGCGATTTTGAATTTTAAAAATTTCTAAATTAGCTAATTAGTTATAAGTAATTTTAAAGAGACAGTTATTTACTTCAAACAATGAATGAGGGGTTGCATAAGATCATGGATTTATTGATTTTAGACATTAACACTGTTAGATGTCGACTCAGTGGTATAGAGTTTAAGCGTTCGCGTACGAGACTGAAGGTTCTAGGTTCAAGTCCCGCATGGGTGATCGACGGTGCGCACTGCTTAGGAGTCCCACTCTGAGGTGAAACGGCAGTTTCCTATGATGGTCTAATTCAGGTCGACTCATGAACTCAACTGTTAAGCTACTACAATCTCCAAAAACCCTCATTCTGAAAATATGATAAGCTTTATAATACCGTCATATACCTATAAGAAAGAATTAAATTCGATCCAACATAAGAGTATGAATTAAAATTACTAAAACTTTTGGAATTGGAATAGAGGAGAAACAACGGTTTGATATTTATCGATTCATAATGTTTCTGTAGTGCATGCTAGTTGTTCTAACAGATAAAAGTAGCATGTAACACCAATCAGAAGTCGAATACCTAACAGTATAAGATTGAGAAAATTGAATTAAAGAGAACAGGAAGATAAATAGAGAGTAACTACAATAACAATTGAACTAGAAGAATCATGAAATATATATAAAAAAACACCTGAAAGATGTGCAATTTAATGTGTATTTAATGCATGGTTTTCATATTTTACAAAGACACTGTCATTCTGCATTAAATTATAATTTAGTTTTCCCCCATCTAAGTTCTTATTCACTACAGTTTCACTATAAGCTTTATGTCAGTGTTCAGCGTGAAGTTGAATTTTTATAAACTTAAAATGTACTAAAATAACCTTACTGTAATAAAAAAAAATTGTTTGTTGTAACAACATTTAAAACTTACATTTTTAATAAATCCAATATAAATCCTTGTTCCGTTTGTTTAGTAACATATTGAATATGTACAGGACTAAATAGTAAAATAATAATTTGGATCAATAGGAGAAAAAAAAACTTATTGCAAAATATATAAACAAATTAGAAACTTATTAACATTCTAAATGATATACGAAATTAGCAGTGACTTATGTCAAGTAGAAACGTAAGCAGATTATATGATATTTCAAGATTGTACAAGTAAAGAAAGATCCAAGTTTATATGTTAAGTTATCTATGAGTAGGTGAGTTATGATTTCAGCCAAAGAGTGAATCTTCATATGTTTTTTTGTCAGCCTGGCAATCAATAAATATTCATGAATTGAACAAACTGATATTTAACTTCTGAAGAGAAAGCTTCATTTTTTAAAATTCCCCTCATCTTACTCAGTATTGTTAGGATCAGTAAAAGAGTAAGGTATCTCTGTGTAATAGTGACTAGACAGAACTGTAAGAATGTAATAGTGTGGTGTATGTTACTTATGTTTGCATATATAAGTAGTATATAGCATCAATCAGAGATGGAATGCCTGGTAGCAGAAGGTTGAGAAGATTGAATAGAAGACAACAGGGAGGGAAACAGAGAGTAATTAAAATAAAAACAGGAATGAAGAAAGGATGAAATTTGTAAGAGACAATTTATGGAAGATGTGCAAATAAAGTACGGTGTTCATATTTAACGAAAGAACTCTGTAATTTTGCATTAAACGATAAATTGGTTTTTCCCACCTGAGTTGTCGTTCACTACAATAGCGATTCTGATAGATGCTATCGGTGGTATCGTAAAACCCTTATTTTCATAATGAAAAAGGTTATCTATGTTGACTTTACAGTAAAATCACAATGACAGAATTATATATAAATTACTCAGTTAGGAAAGACAAATACTATAATCGAAAGTTAACCGTTCATAAATTTATTTCAGTCAGCAAATAACTTGGTTCAATTGAAGTTAGACATTAGCACCGTTGAATGCTAGCTCACCGGTCTCGAGGTTAGGCTTTCGTGCCAGACCGAAGGTCCCAGGTTCGAGTTCCGCACGTGAAATAGTTGGTATGCACCATTGCGGTGTTCCATACTAGGACGAGACGGTCTCCAGTGCTTCTAGATTTTCAGTGGTGATCTAGCTCAGATAGACTCACGAATTCAACGATCAAAAAATAACTTTGAAATAGTTGGTTTAATTCATCACATTTAATTTGTAATAGTTGTGTTCAATATGTCATTGAGGGTAATATGAATGAACAAATAGTGTATCGTTTTGAATTGACACAAACAGGAAGTGTAACTCATTTTTGAAAGTAATTGTTATGAAGATTGAAGCAATAAATTTCTCACTAGACGTTTTTTTTTAAAATGGAACTCATATTTTCCAGTGAACTTGTGGTAAGAAAGTTCATTTTTGACAGGCTTACAACGCAGATTTACTTAGTTGACTTAGGCAAAGTAGTAAATGATAAACACAAATTCAGAGTTGAAAAGACATCAGACCTCTGAACATAGAGCATCAGCTCCCTCAGGATTATAGACAACCAGTTGCATCGTTCAACAGGGAATTTTGATACAGAGCTTTCTGTCGACAACACCTAGAACCACCATCTAACATTCCACACATTCTAAAAACCAAAGATTTGTTTATTTTTCATCCTTTTGGCTTAATAATATAAGTCGTATTAAGTGTTAGCAATATTTTAAAATATATCCTAGTGACACAAAGAAAACTCATATTATTGAAACGATAGAAATCTTTAGCTCGGGTACGTGCTTTAGCATGATTATGTTCTCTTAATTAGATGATTTGACTGTGGAGTTTTTGCACCAGGTAGCCATTGATGATACTATCCATAATTTCAATAATAACCTTAGCAATTAAACTATATAACTTAGAGAATACATCACCACCAAAATCTATATTAATATTACTCACTATTTCTTATTATTTACTAACACTAATCAATATACATCATAGCAACAACAAATTTTATATAAACACAAATGCCACATACAAAAAAATACATGCATAAAATATACACATCAATTATTCTTACTAGTCTGTAATTATTTTTAATAATAACTTCATTTCATTCAGCAGACACTCTAAATTAGTTTCTTTCCTACAATGTTCAATTATCTAAAAATGGAAATTTATTAAATAAAACTGAACGCACAAAAAAGAAAAAAAACAAAAACAAAAGGAAATTCATAATCAATTTCTTTTCGGGGGGGACATGATTATCGATGATGGTTGTTATTTTATTCAGATTAACACATGGAAATTTTACAGATTAGATTGATTGAAGGCTTATAATTAATAACTTTATTATTATTATTATTATTATTATTATTATTATTGACAGAAAGTGAAATATTATTGTTTCAGTGAGGAATGAATATAAAATCTCTGTAAATTATACTCAATATGACCAGGATTTAGAGAAACTATGTAGATGATAAATGAATGACTCCAGTCTAATGTTGTAATTGGTAGTTGATAGTGTTTTAGATAAATAGATAGATAAATAGACGGACATTTAGGCTACTGAACAGATAAACTAATAATGAACAGGTGTCTGTTTTTTTGCCAATTTCTCAATGTAGTCAAAAATTAGTTGAACAGCTGTCATATCACATATAATGTATGCGATTCTTACAATTTTGCACACTCGCACACACATATATATGTACATACATGGATGTATTTCCGGAAATTAATATTGATCTGTATTTATTAAGAAAAAGAACTGAATTATCAGTAAATGGTTCAAGTTGAATGGCACTAATTTGTACAAGTTTATCTTATCAATTCTTAGTGGTTTGTGGTGCATGCTACTTATGCTGACAGATATAAATAGTATGTAACACCGGAGTGAACATCAACTCTGGGGTGCAGGTACATCCAACTGGAGAGTTCTAAATAGGATGAAACGCGCGTCCTGAATTCCACTGCTAGCTACTATCCATCTTTCCTTATCTATCTTGTACTGTTTAACTGGAAATCGTTCAATATAATTTCTAAAGGCCAAGTTTATTTTCAATCGACTCAAACAGTCCTTTCAATCATGTGATACCATTTGATTTTGTTATGCGTTAACGATCTCATGAAATAAAAAAGCATAACAATTGGAAAATATTAAAAAATATTTTAAGTAAACTATAGAATATTTATTAATACGAATTTTCAAGAATTAATGGGATTAGATACTCATTAATGATTCGGGCAGCATACAATCAGAGTTTGTATAAAAAAATTTGGTATTTTATTCCAGTTAAATAACTTAACACAAGTAAAATTTGATATCATTTGCGAGTCTGTTTGAAAAAAAGAGTTATTCATTATGATACTAGCAATCTTGAAGAATTTTAACAGAATTTATCATGAAACTATAAAAAATTAATTGAGTCTCATGGAAGCCACAAAAACTGAAAGATGGTTGTATTAAACAGATGATGTTATGGCCATCTGAATATACTCAGTTTATGAAATAATTTTAAGGCAAAGCCTAATACAGAAGCATTTAAGTGAGCTTCAATGTAGTGTTTTGAATATTGATAAACAAGAAACCTTTCTGGAGCTGTAATCCAATAAAGATATAGCTGGTGATGTGCTACAAGATAGAAAGACTAGAGCAAAGAAGAGAATATTTCATGCAGTTAACTACTGTCTAACGTTCTCGGCCCGATCTATGGTGATTCCTTAACTAAAGGATAAGTTACCTGGTTCTGCCATATCTATATGTATCTAAAAATTCAGCTGCTCCTGTGGAGAAAGCTATATTAGGCACACTATCAGACAAATGAGCCAAGGTGTTAGTGAACACCTCCCTTCGTGGCTAGAAAGGAGCATCATAAAAACAGTACGCAGATCTGTGTCTGTAACACTTGGTCGGTAACGGTCATGTAGTAGTTAAAAGTAGAACATTTATGGTGATGTGTCGTATTCTTACTAGTTTTCCTAATGGGGGTTAGACCTCCTCTCTTACACATAGCAGAATCCATATGAATTCGAGCTAACAATCCACGTCTTTGTATTTACAAGAAATCTGTAACATCTTTATCTCTTCCTTGGCTGAATTGACCTTGATAAAAGATTTCACCTACTATTATTATTCCATACTCTTTGTTTGTTAATTTTCATTCACTCCCTTTCATCTACTTTTTCCTAAACATAAGCTTCACTGTCCAACTGTCTGAACAATTCTTATTACGTAATCTTAGCATTCTTATGAATGTTATTCCAACATCCATATTTTTCACACCGTTGACTTAATTCTCATTATGAAACATTGATTCAAGCGTTGATTGTTCTTATCACAATTAGTAAACTGTCTTCTCATCACCAATTTATACTTTTTATTTATGTTTATTTATGTAATCTATTCCACTGTTATCATTGACTCATAAACTGCCTTGATTAATTTAATAATTTCGTATATAAATATAAATATCATCGTATATTAGAGTAAAGCCCGATGAGGATCTAATCTATAATAATGTCAATCACTTATGTATATATTGTTCGAATTTCATATTACACAACTGAAAATTCACTAAGAGTTATCAATTATTTGGGATATCACATAATAGGAAAATAAATACTGAACTATCATAAATATAACATACACATTAATACCCTATCATTGAATTATATGTATATGAAAGTGTTTATAACGAATACATCATTGGTAGACAATTTATGCCATAGCGGTTATTTCTACGGAATTGAACTAAATACACTAAGTTACATTTGGAACATTACATTAAAGGAATGTGGGTTAATGAAAAATAAGATTATATTGAATGATGTCAGAAATGAGCAGAAAACTGTTACTTTCCAATTCCCGACATTAATTATTTACTATTATACCATCCATCCATTCACAGAATAACAGAATCATACGATACCATAAACGGAACTATTACTACTGATGAATCCTAGTAAAAAGAACACAAAGTCGATTGTTTTCAGAATTTAATGATACCAGTTTTAAATTTACAGTTGTCATAATAAACATAGTACAACCCCAAGATGTAAATATTTCATCGAGTGTACAACTTGATAAGTATACTTCCTAATCAATCATTAAGAAAAATATTATGACTATAAACAATAATTAACTTCAGCATATAAAAATCAATCAATAAATAATTAAATAAGTAAATCACAAACTAACCACAGATAAAAATTCATCTGATACTAATTGCCAACTGAAAAATTGTTCTATTCCATAAACATTTTTCATTGGTAGAATTGTTGATGAGTACTGGATTTGGTTAATATTTTCATCTTGTTGAATTAACATTTCTTCAGATAAATATTTTTTAGAATCATTATTTTCATGTGTAAAACAAATTTCATGAGGATATAACTTTATATTATCATTACTCGGAGCATTATTACTAGTAGCAAATCGATTAGTTATAGCATAATTGGATAATTCAATTAGACAGGACAAGAGATATGACCAAATTTCATCATGAAACTTTTTATCCAGTTTACTGTTTAGAAAAAAAACATCAAATACAGTAAGTAAGTAAGTAAATAAGTAATAATAATATTAATAATGTAACATCGGAATGATTACTTTTAAATGAATCTCATAAGCATAAGGGTACTGATAATGTTTGAGTAATTTCATGCTTATCGAAGAAAATTAAAACTATAACATCGCAGATGGTAATAGCCTTCATTTTGAACAATATATCCATTCTGTGATTAGAATAATAGATACACTTAATAAGTATTAACAACATACTGATGTAATCAAGTCGTGATGTAGTCGTTAATTCATAAAATTGTAACTATTAACTAGTTATCTGTTTTTTCTAGATATGGTATTGATATATCTGACAGTCAAGTACTCGACACTAACGTTCTAACCACTTCCTTGTTACTCAGAAATTTTCTACACTAGACACCGGAATAAATGACAAATGGAAGAACGCATGTGAACTCTTTCTACTTCCAAGTTAGCGTAGGTACATAAAACAAGGATATTTATAGAATTACGTATGGTCTTGATAGTATTGAAGCTTTTCGAGACATGACAAAATTCATTTTGTATTGTTTGTTCGAATCTTCCCATTGATGTTTAAGACTGCAATTGATCAGTCTCTAATTTACATATATGCATCCTGTACAGATTGTCTTGATATGACAAAATTATTAGCGAAATTAAGGATCATCAAATGGCGACATGATACATTATCCACAACTTTTGGAAAACTTTCTGAATAGTTCCAAAGACATTTCATAAGAAGTTGTAAGAGCTTTACACGTAGATAATCATTTTTAACTAAATGTGAGCATGATTTAAGGATGAAATACCTGAATTCACGAGTTATGAGCGATCCAACACTACCAAACAAGCTTTTATGAAAATCTGTCATGTTATCATATTTTAGTGGTGTTGATTAATTCAAGTTAGTATAAAATCTTTCTATTGATTCATGAGTCGATTTAAATAAGTTAAAGGCGGAACACTAGTAATCAAACAGCTGTAAATAAATTATTGCTTGGATTGGAATGTAAGTTATTTTTGCCTTTTATATATTAGAAAGAGCCTTGGACTGATGATATTAAAGCAGTTTTACGGACTTTCGTAAAAATGTACAACAGATCGTGGATGTGTGTCGCTAAGGAGTCCCATATTAGGACGAAACGGTCGTGCAGTGCTTTTGGGTTTTCAATGATAACCTTAAATTGGTCAGTTCATGATCTTAACTAAAATTCAACAATCTCCACGACCATATACTGATAGATATTAATAAAGTCTACTGGTATGGTAATGTACATGAGTCCCTAAGATCAACATTCGTAAACATTTCCAATAAATAACATTAACTACTTATATGTCAACGAGTAGTTTACAAAAATATTCAATTCTATTTCGCTTGGGTTTGCTTAAATAAGAACGTTACAGGGAATGCATGATCACATTTTTCTTTACTTACAAAATAAAAGACTGAAAAGGCTAATAATACAATTTTAGTAGTCAATATATGTATATATATATGCATATGAAACTTACTCAATGCATTCAACAAGCTGGAAGAGTTTACAATGACCTTCACATTTAACAAAATCTCTGTTAAATTGTTTACATTGCAAAACAATGGCTAATTCCATCAGTAATTGCTTAAATGGTCCATACAAATGATGTGATGGGTTACAATTACTATTAACAAATGTATTAGTAGTAGTATTCCTATTATCAACTAAACAATTCAATGCTTGATTCAAATTCGAAATAAACTTCTCCACTGCTCTACTCTATTTAAGTAAATAGACATAAACATAATTAAACAACATTTATCAAATATTAAATACAACGATATTAAGAATTCGTATTGAAATTTTCCGAAATCAATAGAGTTTAATAAACATTAGGTGATTTCTTTGTATTTTTTGTAAGCACGATGGACCTGGGATTAAAATGTGCGTCACTTTATCATGTGTATATTTTATTAGAAATCAAGACAACTTCACTAGACTGATTATATATAAACTCGCACTAATGCTTCTCGTTAAATTTGTCAAAATTGGTTTGAGCTGTATATAACAACAAAAATTCAATAACTTACTATGTGAACACCATATTATACAATTGAGCATCTATAATCCTTCTTAAAATGTGAATTCATGATAAAAAAGATTGTAAAAGATCAATGCCATATGTAATCCGAAATCCAATTGATTAAGCTATTACTCGTCTAATAAGAGGTAATTTAGTGAGACTTTTTAAATTTATATGTTGTATTCACTACAGATTACCATCGAAAACCAAAGAACGCTAGATATCTTTAATTTCCTTAAAGATGTTACTGAAGTTCTAATGAGCAGTTGCAAGTGATAGGGTTCACACACAACGAGTGAAACAGTTGCTACTAAAAAGCATTGGACAACAGTCATTCTACATCGCAGGGTGACTAGAGTTAAAACCGTACCATTAGATCCTGACTCAGAGGCTATAACGGTTAAGCGTTTGCTGCAATGCCTGAAGTTCCTGTGTCTTTTACCTGATTGAGTCATGAGTTCGCATTGCTAAAGAGTCCTACGCGAGGGTGAAACGACTATCCAGTGCTTAATGGTTTCCAATTGTATCCTTTGAATAATACAAGCTACAAATTAAGCTAACTACACACAATATTTATAACTTTAGACGTTCGAAATATATAAAAAGTTTGGCAAGAGCAAAATAAAAAATCTGATTAATTTAAATAAAACAAAACACATAAACCACTTTTGGTGATAATAAAAAAATGAGTGCCAAATAAATAAAAACTATTCAAATATCTTCAGCATAAAGTTATATCACACAAGAAATCACTGCAAAAATGAAGAGTTTAGATAGTTGTTTTGTCTCACAATTCCTGAACCCGTAAGAATTATGCCTCACAATGATCAATTACATGATCGATTTAGAGAAATTCGGGTCCGATGACAAGGGCTTTAATTTAAGAACGTTCAGCGGGATTTTAACGGTTAACATTTTTGTATTCGGTTGATTTGCAATGGAGAATGGTTATTATCAAACGTAGCTATTAATACTCTAAATTACTTAAGAATATGTAGCCAAGCAGTCAAATGGTCAGTTCAAAATACCTAACGGGTATAAGCATATATATATAATCGTAAGTATGACTGAAAAACCAGTTTATCACTTCCAGAAAAATAACAATGTAAGCATACATTCTATGAAGCTAAGATTGCCACTTTAATTAAAGTAACCTATCCACGCAGACATACATTACATGACTGAGGTGAAAGGAGGAAGGAAATTAAGTCAACTTAGGAGATCAGTTATAAGGTATATAACTGAATACAATAATAGTGCAAAATAAAGGAAAAAATATACAACCAATACAATCTAAATAATGGAAAACGTCCCATTATTTCTGTTGTTAAAGGATGACAAGCTATCAGAGTATCATTTCAAAAACTGAAATACAAAAATAATTATGTTTGGTGTTTGGAGGCAATCAGTAGGAAACCTTGAACCTAAGTTTCGTGTTAGTCGGTACTTGTTAGTATGTCGTAACTTCAATCTTGATCGACAAAATCTGATTAACATTAAGGAATAGGCAAACATGATACTTATCAGAACCCAGAGATGAGTAAATTTCTCAGTCCTACAGGAGGTCGGTTTCTAACCAAATCGCTAATTAACAACGTCTCAAATAGTCGAAAAGGGTCATGTGGTTTTGAACTCTAAAGGGATTTTCAGTCCCATGAATATCAAAGGTCTGTTTTAAAGACGAGTACCAACCAGGAAGAAATTCATTCGCAGGGTTTACTGTCGACTCCCTCCAACCACCTAGCATATCAATAAAATGTAAGTGATGTCAGATCACTTACACTAGTAGCCTCTACGAACTCACAATAAACAAAAGATAAAGACTCACTAAATTTTAGTTAATCTACACAACCCTCAGCTTCATTCTACTAATTACTTGCATAATACGGTCATTGAGTATATGAATGCAACCAAGTTACAAATATTAAGTCATTAATGTTTTTCAAACATTTCTAATATGTAGTGGAACCCATAAGTAAGTTAATGAAATTCAGACCACACACACGGTACTAAACAATAAATAAATCAAATAAATGATAATCCATGTCGGCTAGAGACAGGTAACTACTTCAGTACAATGGAAGATAGTCGTGCGATTTCGTGGATTGGTTGAGGTTAGACATTAACACCATTGGATGCCGACTCAGTGGTCCAGTAGGTCAAGCGTTCGCGCGAGACTGAAGGCCCCGGGGTTCGAATCCCGCCAGCGGGATCGTGGATGAGCATTGCTGAGGAGTCCCACAATAGGACGAAACGGTCGTCCAGTGCTTCCAGGTTTTCAATGGTCGTCTAAGATAAATCGGTTCATGATCTCAATAAAAAAACTTAATAATCTCCACAACCCCTATACTGATAAATAATATAAACCAGTTGGTAAGATTAGGTGTGCTTTCGATAAAGGTAGTGTAGAAGAGTTATACACATATGAGCCATACAAAATAACGCAGCGAAAGTTAATGAAAAAGTTATAAATTTTTAATATATGCATTAGAGAATAATGTAATTGACAAGTAAAAAAGTACTAAAATTTTAGGGCTCCTGGTTGAAAGTTTTCATAGTCTCAATTTGTATAATTATACCAAACATAAAAAGGACCAGCTTGTAGTTTGTAAAGTTACAAATTTAATCACATCCTCAAAAATAAATACAATATGATTGTGTTACTTATTATAACAGAAAAATGAAATATACTGTTTATGTGCATTATATGAGAATGAAATAAATGTTCATTGCCTTTGAATCCACGTTGAATACTTCAAACAATTAAGTGAACCTACAGCTTTGAGCCAGTTAAAATTCATTACTAAGGTATATTTATTATCTTGAGTAAAATGATGATTATGCACAGATTCAAAATGATACACCCAGTGGTTCAGATGAACGATTTCTAGTTTCTATGCCTTTATAAAGTCACACCAATCAGTATAAAACAATTTCCAAATTATTCAAAATCAAATTCACTTCGAAACATTATCCTCCTTCCATTTTATATCTCACCACTAAATGTCAAACAGTTCAATTCAAATAAGAATTGTGTGACAGCTCCACAACTTAATAACCACACACAAGGTCAGTGGCTCTCAAATGTCTAACTAACTAACTAACTTCAATATCACTTGCACAAATATACACACATTAATGGATTGTTTACAAACAATAAATCAGATATTGTTCTACATTTATCACAAAAATACGCAACATTAACCAAATTACTTCATTCAACACACAAATCAATAGCTTAATAGAGATTCAACTTTTCGGTGCACTGAAAGGAAGTTATCGAATCATGGGACGATTTTGTCGAGAAATAAATTTAGATTTAACTGAATTCCCCATTGTGTTTCGGACTACATCTAATACTATTCAACCACTTACTATTCGGAGTGTTGCTTCTTCCTATCACGCACTTACTGACTACACAGAACACTGTTGTTTATATTAAAAATAATAACTGATATAATGCATACTATTGAAATTATTGTGTCAATTTCAATTAACTAGTGATAATAATAACAACAACAAAAGCAACAAAAACAAGCCATTGCTTATAGTCATCATGTTCGAATAACGAAAAGTGAAGTCCCACTAAAATATCAAAAACAGTGAAGAGATAAGATACGTGTCCGGAAAGCGCTAGCGCATTCATTCGTCAATCTTCAATATGTGTGCACTGACAACGATTTCCAGTCAATCTCCCGTCCATTCACTCAGTCCATCTTCCGTATAACAGAATAATCTTCACTGACAATTTCATTTCAAACTATAAATTTCACTTGATTTACCATTTCCATCACATAACTTGCGATGGCGCTATATTGATATCGAAGTGTCAATATAATAAGATAGATTGAAATCATTGCAATCAAATTTATAGGGAACACCCAACCAATAAATCAACGAACACAATGCTTGCAAGTGGTCAGTTTTCGAATTTTACTGAACACTGACGAACACCATTATTAGTCTTCCACCAGATTCAAATGTGTTTTCGAAAACTTATCAATCACTTCAATAAAACGAAAGAAATCGAGAACGATTGACAATCATTCGAACTATTTACGAAAATCCGCTGTTATATAAAATAAAACAAACATCATTTATTAACTAAGTAGTCAGTTTTAAAAATACGAAAATAATCAATTATGCTTAATATGCAGTAGTGGTGAACTATATATAAGGAAACCTAATGAGCGGACCCAAATTCCATAGGTTAATGAATGACTTATCAAGCTCATATCTAACAACCATCTATGTTTCAAATGAATTTAAGTTAGTGGTTGTATGAACGTTTAGTTCATTGGGCAATGTGTTCGTGTCTGAGGTGAAAGATATTGGGTTCAATTTCAGTCTTATACCAATATTGGGATGTAAGTACATCTAACTCACAAGTCTTAGGAAGGGTAAAATGAACCTGGCTTTTCATTTAATCCATAGATTAACACATGTACTTGACCTTTTACAGACGCCGAGGATCAGAATGCTTGTAATTTTTGTACTGACCTTACTTAAACTATTTTTAAGTAAGTTCATTGTGAAAGAGATTTCTGAATACTCTGTTATTTAAACAACATTTAATGGAGATCGAAATATAGTTTCTATAAAATTTTAATCGTATACTGTGATCAGCTAAAGAGAGAATCATTCAGAATCAGAGCGCACTGATAATAAAATAATCAATTATACTGCGAATTCGATATTTTAATTCTCACCGATATCAGGCTACTTTTAAATGATCTAAAATTCTCTAAACAAACATGTGGAATAGACAATTATATATTAATATGGCAATACCTTAAAGGCTTGTTGGTTGATACCATTAAAAATCGATTATGGATAGACACTGAAGATTGTAAAGTACCGTTAAATAACTAAAAACTAGGTATTTACAAATAACTCTTATTTCTTTTCAAAAACGTTTTACTATACAGATAAGGATTGTACATTTAATAAACTGAATACATGTGATTCAAAAAATTCCACCAATAAAAATCAAATGTTTATCATAAAATTATGAAATTATATTAGATAACCTAAGTGTAAAACAATTTTATCTCAATCAGTCATACATTATTTCGGAACTGGCATATATTTACTTCACTTCAAGTTGCTACTTCATATCAATACAAGGAAATTATCAAGATGAACAGTAAACTACTTAATACAGTTGTAGTATCAGTGATGTAGTACAAAGTCATTAGTCATAGAGTAAGATGCAAGAAACAGGAATTGATATACAAAGTCAAAAATGTGAAATAATTCTGAAACTCAGGATTTTAGGAGTGAAAAGAGTGAGTTAATCTGAGTCGATGTGACCGATTCTGGATGACATCACTTAAAGTCTCCTACCATTTGTCAAGATATACACGTGGACCTTATAAATAATCCGCACCTAACAACGTGTCTTAGAACAACAGTCAATAACGTCATGTATTGATGCCACATCTAAGTTATGCCCCCTAATTTTTTCCACTACTTGCCAGTCAAGCTAAAATAGAGCAATGGTTTTATATACGTAACTCCCAAGGAGATTACACATTATCTAGCTTTTTTGTTAAGAAATGATAGTTCTTTTGTGGAAAGATAACCGCGATAACATTTTCTCGATTCATGCCTCTGAAGTGAATTTTATCGCTATTTGATCGGTTATTCCCACTCTTAGTTTGCGATTTGATTATATATCACTCCAGGTTCATTGTTGGTCTCTATATACCACAACGCTGTCCCATTACAAATCTAACTTCAGATCTTTTATATAAGCTTTTGTTGAAGATCTGACGTCTTCCTGCTTTCCACAGCGTTGTGGATTATTATTAACATGTTGCATATCAGTCATCCAGCTTATCAAGTTTATATTAGGTTCCATTCATATTATAAGAATCTCTTAATCGTGTGCAATTAGAAATTACAGTAGGCCTATATAGTAAAATATAACAGTTATACATATCTCACTTAACTCAGTCGATGAGGATTCTCTACCTAGTCTGGCGATTCAGTATGTTATTTTCCTTTTTACTTAGAGCTTTCAATACTACATATACTTCTAACTCGTACCAAAAAATTAGAATACACTATTCACGCCTCTTAATTAATTAAGCCACTCATTGGATAATATTTTAAATAAAAGCCATTTTATGATTTACATTTCTAACTGAATTCAGTCAGACAACTATAAAAACCAAAAAACATTGAACGACTGTTTAATTGTAGTATGGAACCTGCTCAAAAGTGTACATTCATGACTGAATCACGGATTAAATCTAAAATCTTCAGATTTCGATATGAGCTCTCAACCTTTAGATTACTGAGTTGGTATTCAATGGTTTACATTTCCAACTGAGTTTAATTAATTATAGCACACAACCATCATCCAGTGGTGCTTATTATTAATTTATTGTACTATCAACATAGTCGTTGTCCAGTGCTTAATGGTTTTCAATACTTGTCTAGCTAAGGTAAATTATAAAAGTCAACAATTTTCACAGACCTCCTACATTGATGAAAATCATTTTATAACTAAGCAGTATGTTTACTACAATACTGACAAACGAATTATATTTTTATCTTTGAGGATTAAATTATAAACCGAAATGCAATTTCAAACTTATTCAAATGATCTTAATATTTATCAAATCAAGTTGTTTACTCCCCTTAATTACAGTTTTTAAACTAAACCAGAAATAATGATTTAGTCAAATTTCTCAACTCCCTTATAACTGTTCAATCACAACAATCATAATATTTTTATCATGTAATACAGTTACAACTACAAAATAAAGTAATGGAAACAATTAGGATCTTTCCATAGCCAAAAAACCAATATAAATATGTATACATCTTCCTTCCTAGATGTATAACAGAATAAACGATGACAATAATAATAATAATAATAGATTCTACGAAATTTAATTACTTACCACTAACACAAAATGGTGGCATGTCGACTTTTTTGTATTAGAATGTGTAAAATGTTTATCAGAGTGTATATCATCATGCAAATAATGCGGCATTTTTATTCTATCATGTTTTTGTTGTATACCACTATTATTATTATTATTATTATCATTATTTAATGAGCGTTTCGATGGTGATGTAATCGACTGTACACAATTCGATATAGTACGTAATGATTTACTACGTTTTTTATGATAACTTATTAAATGAGATTTACTTACAATAGAACCTTCTATGGTATAAAAACTATTATGATCATCACAAGTACCGATATTCTCATCATAATTTTTTAATAATCGATTCGATTTTCTTCTTACTGAATGTGTAATGAAGTTTTGAAAACGTTTTAAAAAAGTTTTTGTTTGTTCTATAGCTCCCCGTTGTTCATCATCGTTAATATTATTACTATTCAATTGTGATGAGACTGGTAAGTAGGCTAGTCCAATTGATGATAATGTTGAGGAAACTATTGATTGTGATAATGTTTTCTCATCATTAATAACAAATGAAGTATTGATTGGGTCTATCAAATGATTTATTTCGCAATTACGACAGATACAAAAAAATCCATAATGGTCTTCGATAAATCCTGCATAATTTTGATGTAGTTGTGGGTTATGATCATGATGGATTAAACATTCTGAGTTGCCATTATTACACTGAGATGATGAGATTTTATTTACGTAACTGTTACGACTAGTAACAGATAACGATAGTGTGTTATTTAAGATTGGATTGAAAATTTGAGATGATGGTGGATAACTTTCATCTAAGCAAAATTTATGCAAATCACTGTTATTTAAATTTGTCTCCGAAGGGGATGATAATGACGAGGAGGAGACGGTGGATGTCGATTTCAATGTTGACAAATAAGTGTGGATCTCGGCAGAATTATTTATTTCAGTGACAGAATGCATGGAACTTACAATAGTGTATTGATGGGTAGAAAGTATACTGTTTATTACTAATAATATTGATTGGCCATTGTTGATTAATTACTGATTTAAGAATAAAGCAGTTTTATTGATATTTAAGTAGTCAAATAGTTTATCATTCAAATGAGTAATAATTGTACAGTTCGGTAATTTTAAGGAGGTAATTGATGATGAACGTGAGAAATCTGGGCCGCTATCAGCGGACGATGTTATGATTACTGCAGATGGAATGGAAATGTATAGTATGATGAATTCGGTTGAATTTGGCAAAAGTGCGATTCCAACATTTATATTGATGATACCAGTGGTAAAATCAATTCTCAAGCGAGAAAATAATTGGATTTCGTCTGCCATAAATATATCTCAGGGATACTATGGGACCTTTCCCCATTAATGATCTGTATCGTTAAACACATCCAAAAACCACTATATATATATATATATATATATATATATATATATATATATATATATATATATATATATATATATATATACGTATGGACTAGACATTTAAATTCGGTGAAGGTGACTAAACGATTCCTATTGGATCATTAAAGAACATCTCCACACAACCTATATAACACATTTTGAGAAGATAGACACACTAATCTGGGAGGAAATATGTAAAAGGGATGGAGGGGAAACAACCTTTTTCAAACAAATGAACATGTTGGGTCTTCCAACAACATGAATAATGTGACCTTGTCGTGTATGCGTTTAGTCAGATATTCTTGACAAATCTATAGGTTTCGTTGATGAAATAAAAATCAAGCAACAAAACGATACAATTTACAGCGTCTCAAAATATTACTTAATTGCTACATGAATTCACAATTTTATCTTAGAAATAGACTAGTTTATTATATTAAAAATATTTTTCTTATCAAATGAAGGTTAACATTAATTGCACGGCCATATTTTTTTTCGAGAAATTGAAATAAATCTGTTGTGTCAATACAATTTTAACTTAATTGTTGAATTCATGAGTAAATTGAGGCTAGACCACCATGGAAAACCTGGAAGCACTGGACGGCCGTTTCGTCCTAGTATGGGGTTCCTCAGCAGTAGTCTAGTGGTTAGGCGCTCGCGCGTGAGACTGGTAGGTCCTGGGTACGAATCTCGTGAGGCTGGATCGTGGACGCGCACTGCTGAGGAGTCCCATACTAGGACGAAACGGCCGTCCAGTCCTTCCAGGTTTTCCATGGTGGTCTAGCTTCAATCGACTCATGAATTCAACAATTAAATTGCAATAATATCCACAAAACCCCTCTCTGATTAAAATGTTCATTTGTTAAACGCAATAGATACCATATTCCTAATTTTTCAATAAAGTCAAATTTACATTTACTTATATAAATCAATTTTTTCTCAGATGGGCGTAAAACTAACCTAAAAATCATGTATGTAGGACTGTGTACAATTGTTAAACTGATTTCATCAAAAAAGATCGAATGAATAATTTGGAACTTGAATGTACTTTGAGTGGAAGTAAAGTATAGATATTAGCTGATGATATGCACATTGGATACACTTTAGAATAATATTACAAGTCTGAAATTGTGTCAGATTAGATCATCATTGCAAACCTAATGTTAAAGAGATTTTAGAGGAAATATGGAAAAATATACGTAAATTTGTCGTTAAGATAAAAAAACAGGAAAGGAAACCTCTTACAAACGTGTGTCTGGGTGTGTGCGTGTAGTAACGACTGCACAAGGACTGTAAAATAGTTGATTAATGATAATGGGTAAACAGTTTAAAGATGATTACGGAATTACTTGTCATCGTAAATCAATAAATGAATAAAGTTAGAGGTTAAGTTTAGAAATTTAGGACAAGAGTCAGTGCTAAGAGTTAGGGAGGGAGAACGCTTCGTGACCATAATGATTAATACCTAGGTTAATAGTCCTTTAATTTTAAATCACAAAATCTACTTAGTTACTTTGGAAAATCCACAAATCATGCGCAAACGATGTTTTTATTTTAATACTTTTTGTTTTCTATCACTTTTTCATCTTCATTTTAAGAATCATTCAGGTTTATAAATATTCCCTAGTCTTGTCCTGATTATCAGTTTTAAGCTTTTCGGTAAGTAACTATTGGTAGGTTTCACTGAATCCTTAAATAGCTTTTATTGATCAAGTTATTTACCAGTGCGCTTAAAATTTTGCGCAAAAATCCATAGAGCCGCCATCCTAAACAGAATTGATTCAGCAGTACAGTTTACTTCTGTCGAAATGAACTTAGAAAAAGTTTAATGTACATTAAATAAACATTAAAAGAATAAGCTTAGAATTATTTCGATTTTGTAGAGCTTTGGTTATATTGAAATCAATTTCTGTCACATATTAACATTAATTAGAAAGTCACTACAAGGAAAGTTTGTTAGACTGTAGTACCATTCTGCCTTACGACTACTATGCAATGCATCCACAACTCTACTTAGTAAATGCGGTTTATGTTTCGACACATTTGCCATAGTATTCAACCAATAAATTAGGATCCAATCTCCTACCTTTACTAACTTCATATTATTTACAATACAACATGATATTTGTCCGTTTATTTGTAAATTAATCCCTAAGTAATTGAAATGATTCTCTATTGTTATTTGGTTGAATATTAACTGTTTTAAAATATAAAATATTCATAACACAATCTGAGTGAGTAATTCAAACATACTCATCATACAAGTTCATACATGAAAATTTAAGATCAGTAATAGAATCAAAATTTAACGTTAATATATTTAGGTTCACAGTTTATATCAGTTAAAATAAGATTCAAGATTCATTGTGTTAGATTCATGTGGATCAATATGTGAAAATAAACTTTATACAAAGAGATTATTTCAATGTAGAACTTAATATATAGTTCCAATGAGTTTTAGTCAACATAACAAAAAATGAACACAAGGAACAAGTGTATCCATAGAAAAATTTTTAAATAACGAATTACAAATTATTTTAAATTTATTTATTAAAAATAAAGGATGAATTCTATTGTGATGTGCGGTGTCCGTAATCTGAAACTGATACCCGGTATGGTACGCGGTAACCCATCCCCCACCAACTGACTACTTGAGCGAGAAAGTGTATTTGACTATCGAATAAAATGCACAAAAACTTATTCACATATATACAATTCTATTCTTAGAAAATTGACACATTGATCCCTATGACATGAGCTTGACCTTGAGTTCATTTCTGCTGCCATCGATTGACCTTTGTTACAACCGACGAGTCACGAATAGGATTGCTAGTCATCATCCATCTCTGCTTATAACATTTGAACTTGTCTGAAGAACTCATTTCAATAATAAATGATTCCACTGAATTGAGTAGTGTTGATAGGATTTGATCACACTTAACTTTCTACATAATTTTAATTTAATTGCCATTGATCATTCGTAGTACGTCGACACCCAGTTATCTTGGTTGGTGGTTTTTATATAAGGTTAATGATATAAAAACGTTCGTAAAATAATACTAAACCTTAAGTAACTCATCAGTGAATCAAAAGTATTTAGTTATAAAGCAACTGTGATAAAATAACAATGGATAAGCATTTTTAACATGATTAATGGACTTTTAAATGTTGAACTAGTTATTTTAGCAATTGAAAAAAGATTAAGACTAAGGAATAGGAGCCCGTCCTAACAGTTACATTTATTGAAATCAATAAGCTAATGAAATTGACTTTCAAATATTATTGATTTATACTTTATAAAGAGACAAAAAAGCTGATCCTATTGGCTAAGTTAATACTTCGAAATAATCACTAATAATTACTATTGAGCAGTATGAAATTATGAAGTGAAATAGTTGATTGCGTTAGCTGTTTCAATCACATTTCATAGATGTTATTTAATTGATGATCAATGAAAAAGAAATACCGTGTAAAAAAAAGACTTCCAGAATCGATTTACAGAAAGTATACAACTCACTGTCTAATAATTTACGGACAATGAAGTATGATTACTTAAACTGAGCAATGAATTGGTTTGTAAATTTATTTCTGAACTATTTGTTGCTGTGTTATAAAAAAACCATTGAATAGTAAGCACCATAGATGTTGAGTGTCGAGTATTTTTGACAAGACCTATAAACCAACTGGTAAATATGTAAATCATTATTAATTCTGGTACTTAAAGGGTATGTTGAATATATAAGCAAAAAGGTAATGAAGATTTGAATTTCTCTAACCCCCATTTATCATTGGATATATATATTTAATCACCAGACATTAAAAATACACTTTGTATTTTAGATGTGACTCTTAATACCATAACTTTTCATTTCATATTAGAGATTAGTTTTACTTTTAAGTGAAAGAATCACTTTTACTTATCAATATAGTTTATTTGATGCTAATTTTTAATAAGAACTTCACAAGTGTAAATTTTCAAAATAAGTCATACTTAACACTGTCCTTTATTTTGGTCAATAATCAATAAATTTGACACACATACTCATGTTAAACCAATCACATTTATCAAACAGTATATAAAATAAATGTATTCCATCTAGTCTATTTTAATTTTCTATGTATCTATAATACACCCAAATCGGAAGATCAACTACTTCACTTATTATATTACACACATGGAGAGTTTAATATATACAAAATTTTAACCTTAATCACTATTGTAAATTTTTTTAAGTGAGTCATAGGTTGACGACAATTAAAAGTACTGGCCATCATTGTCATCATCGCATTTAAGAACAGTGACAATAATAAGAAAACTATAACTGAAATAAACAATTCAGGATAATAATTGTTAGTTTGTCCAGATTATTGATTTCTACATAGAAAGATGAATGGAAGAGAGATTATTATCCATTTTAATAAATTACATTTGTTGCAATTAAAATTTTTAATTATAATCTTACTACGATGACAGTTAATACAGTAGATGAGTAAACACATAGTGAGACTGAATAATGTAGTGAAAAACTTAGCCAAATGAAAATTTATTTCAGAAGGGGTTTTTGTGGATGTCATAGTAGTTTCAATAGTTGAGGTTATGGGTCAACTGAATCTAGACTACCATGAGAAACCTGGAAGCACTGGATGGCCGTTTCGTATTATTGTGGAACTCCTCAACAGTGCATATCCACGATCCCGCCTCGCGTCAATTGACTCAAGATCCAAATATTGAAATTACTATAATATCCACAAAATCGCCTTCGAATGCTAATCAGCATATGTTCACCAGTAGATGGCTTTAAGAGGTATTTCCTGGAGTTCTAATGAGAAGCATTGACCAGTGGAGTTCGACCAGGTCTGTTGTGAGATAGTAACTCGCTGAGAACAATGGCCGAAGTGTCACTCAGTTTCGTGGATCAGTTAAAGTTAGACATTAACAACGTTGAATGCTGGTTAAGTGGTCTAAAAATTAAGCGTTCGCGCGTGGAACT